TTGTTTACTAAAGATCTAGCATTGAAAAGAATACATCGCAAGAAATCTCCTTGCCCACAACTCAGTTTCCCTGCATTGCAGAGGAAACGCGGTGTGACACTGTTGCGGACTGTGATGAAGGAGGATTGTTGCTAGCTAATGAACTGGCAAGAACCAGTCACCTTTATAGACAACAAATCTCTCTTCAAAGCTCCGACTCTGATTCAGCTGCCTAGCTGCTTGATCTCGCAATTCACGCTCCTTTTCTCTTTCCCGAGCCGTCATGCTTCGCGATGTAAGCGCCCTTATGACAAGGGGAATCCTTAAGCAGACTGGCTCGGGAAAGAGCGGATGCCTAGTGACCTCTCGATGGCAATTCTACATTTACCAATCGCGGCACATTAGTCGTTTTTCTGCCCATTCGGAAGATCTTAAATGGCCTACACTCCAAATCAAGAACATCCAACACTTCACGAACTTTCCTTTCTGTGTCCTCTTGGCGCACTGAAGCTGCGGGTTCAGTGCGCCCATCTCCCCTAAGCTCAGGGAGACCTGCGATAACAATGCTTCTCGATCGATAATCTGTCTCGATCGCAGTCTCGCCAAACTCACCAAGCCTCACGAGTATCTCATTTGTAATCTCTCGAACCTCAGGAATATTGAGATCTAACAAGGGAATGGTCAGAAATCGAAGTGGCCATTCCAGACAAGCTGCATACCGTTAGATGCAGCATGAAGCGCTGACTCTAAATCTGCCTTCCTTACCTGCTTATCGCTTTTCTGGACGAACATATAAGCCATTAAAGACCGTTATTTTGCTAAGAAATTATGCGTGAAATTGAAAATTTAGCCGTACTGAGCCACGTTCGCCTCAATGCTGGGCCAAAACATGCCGCTAGCTTACTTAAAATTTTTAAAGCCAGAAGCTGAGCTAAAAGCGCAACAATGTTCTCAATTTCGCTGTTTTTATGTATGGTTTTTTCACAATAAAACCGCTTGTAGCTTCCTCCACAGAAGCGGGAAGCAGATAAGGAAGACAGATTCGAAGTCAGCGTTTTATACTGCATCGAATGATATACAGCTTCTCTGGTTTGGCCACTTCGACTTCTGACCATTCCCTTGTAAGAGTTTTTTAAATAGCTGAACGATTGATTCGGTACGGGCATCACTTGAAGCGCTCTGAGGCGAAAGCGAGGCAAAGATTTTGCGACGCACTAGAATTGCGAAACTGCGACGCACTAGAATCCATGTCATGTTGCGGCGGAGGGATAGAATCAGCTGATTTTTGAGGGTTGCGTGACCTTGTATATTTGGGGGGCACTGTAGATTTAGGAGGCTGTCGATAGAAATAGTGCGACGAGGCGAGATGTACGAGAAAGCAAAGTTATCGATCGGTATGCAAATTAGGCGGGACGGAAATCGAGTCTCAAGGCTCAAAAATCAAATTAACACCTGGCACGAATAAGCACTCAAGCGAGAGTTCAACAGATAGGAACACAGATAGGAGCAAAAATAAGATTGGAAACAGCGAAAGACTAAAATTTGAGTGATATTGAAGAAAAACTGAGAGCTAACCTGAAAACAACCGCTCACGGCCGGCGCAGGATAGGGAATCCAAAAAATTTTGGAACGCTTCACGAATTTGCGTAAAAAATTTTGGAACGCTTCACGAATTTGCGTGTCATCCTTGCGCAGGGGCCATGCTAATCTTCTCTGTATTGTTCCAATTTTAGTATATGTTCAGGAATGAACAAATCTATCTATTAAATCTATCTAACAAATCTATCTTGCTATCCTCAGTGTCCTCAAAACTGCAAAGTTGGGAACAAAGTGAAATAAGGTACAAATATTACTTCGTCACATATGCGGTATATTGAAAAAAGTTTCATTGAATCATAGCGATATATTTGGCGGATGTTGCGGAATCGATGAATTGGTGATCTACCCTATCTCGCAACAGGATATAGCCAAAAACAGTTTTGCCCAAACTAATGCTGATGAATAATTTGAACGGTAAAATCGCCACTTTATTTAACTTATAAGGAAAGCTACCTAACTTAGCTCGACCTTTTGGGATAGGACATATATTGATGATTCAAACGCTGATTCCAAACCTGCTATTCGTAGCTGCTGCGCACATTCCGAAGCGAGTTATGGACTTCTTCCCACGCAAAATTGGCATACTCGTCCATCACGCCATCACGGCATCATCAACTAAGTGCAACACTTACGTTAAGCTTCAAAAAAAGAAAAAAACCAATTGGATTTATGTTATTTCGCTATCTCGGCACCTTTTTCTTGCGGAATTTTAAACAGGCAGTCTTCCCATGTTTAGCACTATGCCAGTCTTGCGCAAGAAGCCCATAGCTCGCTTCGGAATGGTGCGCGGCAGCTAGAGATAGCATATTTGGAACCAGCGTTTGAAGCTGATTCAGAATTTTTATGTCCCTTGCTAGAAGGCCGAGATAAGTTAGGCAGCTGTCCTTGTTTACCCTTCTTAGTTCGTGAATGTTTGCTTGATACTCATAACGAACTTGAATGTTTGCTTGATACTCATAACGAACTATCTCCCCCTCTTTCCTTTTCACCCTTCTTCTATCTCTTTTGCCAATCAAATTTCTAATTCACTCCACGATCGCTATCGTCGTCTCCCCGGTGTACATTGGGCGAAGCCTGAGCCGCCCTTACGGACTTGCGCCCTGCAGCAGGGCTGCGCCGGTGGCGCTAATCGGTATAGGCAATCAACTGATTATCTTTCCGCTTAGCAGGCGTACAATAGCTTTTTTCCATGCATTTAAGCCATTTTTTTCGCAGAGTCGACATAACATAACAGACGATATGGTCGGGAGTATTTGCAAGGAGATTTTAATTTCAATACCTCTATTTTTCTGACCTGCAGCAGGCATGGCCTACATGTTGGCAACATGCAAGAACAGGTACCTTAGAGGTAGTGTCCAAGCAAACCTGGCGCATGGTTTTTCTCCTGGAAATTGATGAGGGTTTACTAACTAAGGCGGTGTCTAAGCAGCAGTGCAAATAGTCCTTTCTTCAACGTTCCTATTACCAACTAAAGTCCGAGTGCGTTGCGGTCCAAGTATCCCCATTTCACATTTGTTACAACCTCAGCGTCTATGACCTGTGGTAAGCACGGCAAAATGTTGGCTAATCCAAACAAAGTTTGCAAAAGTAACAATCAAATAACGACCATCATCTTACACTTGATCAGCACTCTCTGATAACTTCCTCTCTTACAAATACCAAGTTCAACCGCTCCAGCGCAATCTCATAAAAGGTTTATAGTTTCACATTTTGTCAGCTGTGTCGATTAGAGCACGGCACAGGCGGCTTACCAAGGAAGCTGAATATCATTTTTGGAAGAAATAGCAAAGAGGATATCGGTTTGGATATCGTAGTAGCATACCGCTGTCTTTCAATTTCTTTCAATACCGCGTGCCTCCGGCACGCTGCCGGCATGTCGGTGGCATGCTCTCCTAAACTTACGAAGGGCTTGTTAACAGCGAAGTGAAAAGGAAATAAACCAAAGTGTGTAGATGGGCAATGAGGAGCTATTTGCTAAGTATGAAAAATCATGAAAAAATTATGTGAACTGAAGGCGTGCCCAACTTTTTTCGAATTAGGTGGCATTCATGCCACATGGAAGCCACCTGTGATGGCTTGGAAGAGAAAAAGTTATGAATTTTCTCTCCCTAACATAATTCTTTACCTTCTTTGCATAAATTTCATCTGAATCAAAAACCCTCAAATTGGTTGCTAAAGCGCATCAAATCCCCTCCTTCCCGCTCGGCTACAACCCTTGAAAATTTCGAATCGCGGCGGCAACCCAGCTTCAGTCGCACATTGCTGCACGCTAGATACATTATGCTGCCGATGTGGAAAACACGAATAATCTCGCGTCTGTTTGATGGCTCTTTGGCGTTTTGTTTCGCTTTGTCCTTTTCCTTTTCAAGTGTTTTCTCTTCTAATATCTCATGATGGATGTCGTACCTTCATTGGGAAGTCCAAAAGAACTTTTTGCAATTTCGTGAAGCCACCTCGTGCCGAGCCCTGGTGTCGATTTCTCATGTGTCAGCGCACTCTCACCTAAGTCCTGAAGTATCCTTTCTATTTCCTTGGCGCAAAATTTTGGGAAGGGACTCCAGTAATTTCTTCACCGCCTTGTCAAGGAAACCATTTTTTCCGTTTCTATTGAAGATATGTTAAATGCTCTTCCAATTGTTTTTTCTGATGTTGCTAGACATTTTTACGAAACTTGCTTGCAAGCTTTCTACAATAAAAGAGTCGAAGATTACTTCTTGGTTAAACACTCAGACAGAGCTTGCACTACATTGAATCTTGCCTCAATCGTATACTGGATTCAAGTTTTATTGGCATTAGACTGAAGGCAGAAAAAAGAACAATTATGTTAATGGCGACATTGTGGAACTTCTGATACTTCACGTCAAAGGAGATGGTACCGTTTTTCAGGTTCCACTTTTGAACTTGACTGCTTACAGAGGACAGCAGCTACTGATGTACTGTTTTTGTGATCGTTTATGTATTTCTTTAAGCATTGCGTGGGAATTACGAGGAAAAGAAAGCATGTTGTTCATTCTGCAAAGACGGTAACAGTTTATGTGTTAAATACTCATTATTCAAGCGTCGGCTTTTAAAAATCTCCACGAAATTATACTGTATGAGAAATAAATAATGGGAGTATTTCGGTGGTGTCATTTTCAGCAAAAGGTGCATTTAGTCTACGCCTCAGTTGCTAATATTATAACCAAGATATTAGAACCTCGATATGGAAGTGCTGGCTCATTGTGGGGATATTGAGGGAAATATCTGTTGAAAGAAGCAAGAGAAAGTTCAACAGTATCCTGCTTCAATTTTAGATTTAATCCAAATTGATGGATTGGTACGTAACTTCTCGTTATTTACTTTTCTTTGACATCACTGCTTCTGACTGTTTATTCAAATGGCAAGTATAAGTATTCAAAATGAGTCTCTTTAGTATTTCGAATTCACCACAAAGAGCAGCGTTTGACAGGGTTCATGATACTGCCTACTTTACATTTAAAAGCAGCAGCAAATTCGTGTTGATTGGCCAGCACCTGATTGACCCTAAAAGCGGTGTAATTCGAAATTCGGCGAATGCATTCGAAGTTTATTTACCGATAGCGATTCGGAGGGTGGTTACTTGTAAGAAGTTTGTGAATTAAATAATCATACGTAGAGCGCTCACACTTGGCCTTAAATGAGATTTAAACCATGCCGTTGTGAGTGAAAACTTACTATAGCAAAGCCCAGAAAAAACATCTGCTCGTTATCAAATTGTTCCAAACCTTTGATTCTGTCTTCCTTTCCGCCGTGCTTTTGCAAATAAGCTTTGTAAGCCTAATAAAATACATATAAAGTGGACCAGCATCAGCGCAACGTTACCTTAAAAGCCTGCTTCACTCCACCATTATCGGCTATATTTTCTCCCTGAGTGAATTTGCCGTTAATTTTGAGACCAGTTCCGGGTACCTTGAATGTCATCTATGAGCTGGCATAAGTCTTTCAAGAAAGCTTCAAAAATTCGTTTTTGAGGAGGAAGTTTTTTCAGGAGGAAGTTTTTTTCTTTAAGCACAAACGGCAAAATAAAGTGATAAGCAATACTAAATAGCGGAGATAAAGTGAAATTGGAGAAGTGGAGGGGAATAAGTTTGCTGGAGAAAGCACACAAATTTTAATTTAACCTGAATGAGAAATCAACGATGAGACGAGGCAAAAGAGAGGAAGGATTGTACGCAGTGAAGGAACGCTCTTGGAAAACACGAACGTGCAGGAAATATAGGGATACATACATAACCAGCGAAAAGGCGTTGCCGTGAACGTCACAGAGCGACTCCTGCGGCGCACGCTGCGCACGCTGCTTCCTGCGGCGTAGTATGAAGGAACCCTAAGAGTCAGGAGCAGAGAAGTGTTATGACTATATTCGGCATACCAGCTGGTAATTGACATGATGTTGATTCAATTGCTATCGTCTTTTACTATAAGGGGAAGGATGCACGTAGCCAGTAGAGCAGCTGTAGCGAATTTAGTATGCGCAAATATGCATTTTTTCTCCAATATGCCTGGTCCACGAATTCAGTGATTTAGATGTAGTTATTACCATTCGCATTACTATGAGTAGCATATTAGGGTGTGAGCGTAAGGTGTACGTAGCTCAGCGCCAGTGTCTCAAGCCAGTGCGATAAAGGTGTGCCAAATATTCTCGTTTCTTGCAATTTGCCTGCTAGTTGTATTTTCGTATAAAGGACGTAAATAAAGAGTTTTCTGTAAGTAAAAAGAAAATGGCATTCAAAACACAATATCGGAAATTTACGAGTAAAATCAAAATATCATCAAACATTTATTTTTTAATTCTAGAGCCTTAGTCTGTAAAAAAGGGCTATTTCATAAGCCGTAATGCTAGACGGTCTCTTCTCTCTTATACAAGTGAACGGAAGATTCCCGGCGAACAGCAATTTAGCAAAAAAATATGTGGTCAAAACTGCCTAGATGGAAGAAAAGATTAAGAATTTGTAAAATTATAGCTTGCAGAAGAGATTTAGTGCGCAGATAAGATGTATCGCGAGAATAAAAAAGGAAATCAGCATAAGCACCATCAAATGCCATTGAATATGAATTTAATGCTTTTCAGTTGAAATAGCTCACCCTTTCTGAACACCAGTGCGTGCAGCAGTAAAAATAACTACGGTCATTTTCAACTTGGAATAAGCGAAACATTCGAACACAAGTAGAGCAGCGCATCCGCATCGCCTCTGGCTAGGTGAGATGAATAGAATGAAGAGACGCAGACTGCAAAGCGGCGCGAATCGTTGCGTTGCGAACTTCCGCCAGTCCAATTTCCGCCTAAACTGACAAGGGAAGCGTGTTTAGTCGAAGTGGCCTTTTCAGATGAGACCCATACTGCTTTAAAGAGTATTGCACGATAGCTCCGAAGCTGCTTCCATCCTCTGCCATGCACCTCTGGACGCCGAGTTATTACCGTTTTTTGGAACGAAAAAGGAATGCAGAATTCAAGCAAACAATTGTTACAATCTTTCCAAGCGCTCAGATAAAGCACTGTTAAGTATTGACATATTAGACAAACTGTGTTCATTGCATGAACTGCTATGATACTCGACACCTGATCAAATGAGCAAAATTGGGCGGTTTTGCTCCAGTTTTCCGTTCAATTTTTTGACCCGAAAAACGCCCATAACTCGGCTTCTAGAGGCGTTTGGCAGATAAGGAATGCCGACTTGCAATCACTGCGCGATACTCTCCAAAGCAGTATGGGTCTCATCCGAAAAGATCACTTCGACTGAGCACGATTTCCTTGTGAGTTGAAAGTTACTATAGAAAATGAGAAGAGCACATTGCTGGGAAAGATGGGCGCTTACTAGCCGTTGGTAATGATTGCACTTGACGTGCGTTTTAGAGAACTACGTGCACGTGCGATCTATTACGAGGTTGGCGTAGACGAGCTTTAGTCTCGTGCTATGTCTCTGCGTCTCCATGTTGAACAAAATATCTTGCCTTAGCATTCATCACAACTTGATAACGTTCATCACGATCCGTAGCGATAGGTCGCGACACATAGCAAGTGACTATTCTGGCGATCAGCATTGATTGCTTTTGGCAGCAGTGATAAAAAAAATTTATCTGCTTTGCCTGCCTCGGTTCAGGATAGTCGCCATCTCATAGCAGGCTCCGAGCCTTGCGTCACGTTCTCGGCACGTAGTAAACCAGAGGGGCTACTATGTGCCAAGAAACATGCATCAATTTTGCATATACCTAATATTTATTCATTCAAACTTTTTTTCGGAATTTTCGGTCAGAAGCTGTGTACCAGCCTTGCAGAGTGAGCCGATTTGCTTTGAAGCTCTGCTGACCTCTATCTTTCCGTACTGGTTGATCATGCATTGGGCTCGGTTCTCAAAATTTTTCTTTACCTTCGCATCCCACCACTCGGCAAGATTACCATTAGCATCAAATTGACGTCCTAGAATGATTCAAAGGTATTAGTAACTTTAAAAGTGAAGCAGACCAAATAATTTCAACGTGTTCCGTCTTGTTTCAAGGAATATTACCTGCATCATCGAAACCGTGGGTAATTTCGTGTCCAATAAGGGATCCCAGTCCTCCATAATTTAGAGCTCTGTGAAATAAACTTAAACTAATATACTTTTGGCATGAAGGGACCGCCAAAATGTGGCGGAGAAGCCGCCCTCCATGAAAACAGATATGGAAAAATGATGTGATTGCATGAGATGATAGACATGTTCAAAAGCTAAAACAAGCACATTACGTTTAAAAAAACGCATTTTAAAGAATTCAAGAAATCCCCAGCCAAAAAGTCCAAGAAGCGGCTGGGTCACAATGTCCCGAAGAACAATTTTTCGAACCGAGATTTTTCATTTGGGTTCTTTTTTGGAGCAGGAACACAAGCAATTCGAGCAGCTGAGCATACTGTTGTAGATCTTATCAAGGACTGTAATTTGATTATGGTTCATCTTATATATAAAGCTGAATGTCTGTTTGTCTGTATGTCTGTCTGTCTGTCTGTCTGTCTGTCTGTCTGTGTGTACGTATGTTCCGAATAGAAAATTCCATTTCTGAACCGATCCGGACCAAACTTGGCACACATACACTACGGGCCCCGGCGGGTGTCATAGGCTACTATTCGTCATCGATCGATATCGATTTTATCGATTTTTATCGATTTTTTTGCTGAGTTCACCTACGGGGCTGGGAGTTGGCACAGGGGGGTAATCGAGCATGGGGATTCCGAATACAATATTGGTTTTCAGGATTATCGATTACTTTTATCGATTTTATCGATTTTTTTGCAAAGTTTGAGCTACGGGGCTGGGAGTTGGCACAGGGGGGTAATCGGGCATGGGGATTCCGAATACAATATTGGTTTTCAGGATTATCGATTACTTTTATCGATTTTATCGATTTTTTTGCAAAGTTTGAGCTACGGGGCTGGGAGTTGGCACAGGGGGGTAATCGAGCATGGGGATTCCGAATACAATATTGGTTTTCGGGATTATCGATTACTTTTATCGATTTTATCGATTTTTTTGCAAAGTTTGAGCTAGGGGGCTGGGAGTTGGCACAGGGGGGTAATCGAGCATGCTGATCATCCCCAAGGGGGGTGATCAGCATGCTCGATTACACCCCTGTGCCAAATTCCAGCCCCCTAGCTCAAATTTTCAAAAAATCGATAAAATCGATAAAAGTAATGGACGATCTTGAAAACTAATATTGTATTCGTAATCTGCATGCTCGATTACCCCCTGTGCAAACTCCCAGCCCCGCAGGTCAAACTTTACAAAAAAATCGATAAAATCGATAAAAGTAATGGACGATCCTGAAAACTAATATTGTGTTCGTAATCAGCATGCTCGATTACCCCCCTGTGCAAAATCCCAGCCTCGCATGTCAAAATTTACAAAAAATCGATAAAATCAATAAAAGTAATCGATAATTCTGAAAACTAATATTGTATTCGGAATCCCCATGCTCACTTCCCCCCCTGTGCCAACTCCTAGCCCTGTAGGTGAACTCTGCAAAAAATCGATAAAAATCGGTAAAATCGACATCGATCGATAACGAAAAGTGGACTGTGACACCCGCCGGGGCCCGAAGTGTATGTGTGCCAAGTTTGGTCCGGATACGGCGGAGCCGGGTAAGCCAGCTAGTAAAGACATAAGCTTGAGTTTATTACACATTATTAAGAAAATAACAAATTTTTTCACATTGAAGCTAATCAAAAACGTACTATAGCTCTCTGCATGAAGTGAATTCTTACTATCCTTTACGCATCGAAAGCGTGCTGATGAGTTTCTTTGCTGAAAATGCGAGGGCGAAGTTTCTCGACACCATTATGTGCATCAGAGGTAAATTCAAGAAATCGTGGAGTCTGCGAGCATGGGCTAAAAAAGCGCAGCTCTAGTGGTGGTTGAAATAAAATTGGCTTTTGCTCTTATCGACACCAAGACCTTCGTAGCACCTCGAAATTGGGTGAATACAAGAAAATTGTCAGTTCCAAACACCAGAATAAAGCTGGTGACGAAAGGAGCATTGTTGACCCTATCTGGGAGATCTCAAGCCTACTGCGAGGCTGCGCTTTCTCCAACCACCTTTTTGAAAATCCATTTCTCAAACTTACCTCGCACGTCCTCTTGCCATGTAGGTCTCGCTGAAGGTGCCTGCCGGCCGAGCTATAAGTCTGCAAAACCGGTAGTCAGTGGTGAGGTGAAGGTGAGGACATGCGCGCACTATCAAAAGCAGTTTTCAGCAAGGGTCACCAGCACACGTCCGATGCTTAAAGGATGGTAGGAAGCATATACTCTATTCAAATAGGTTTGTTAGAAGTTTCGATCGCCTTTTATATGCAGAAATTTGGTTAGAAAGAGGGATAGAAGTTATTTTTCAAGAAATGCATAGGTTTACAGCTTGAGTTCTTATAAGGATTAACTAAAATTAGCTTATAGTTCTTGGAGTGTTGCATATAGTACTATGCTCAACTGTTCGGATTACTTGTAATTTCGCTCCAAAAAAGTATCGAAAATTCGCTGTCTGCGACATTGTGACGCCATATTATTCGACTTTTTTGGTAAGAGGTTCTAAATTTCTCAAAATTTATGTTTTCCGCAAAAGCGTAATGTGTGGATTGTAGTTCTTGAAGTGCTCTACTATCTCATGCAATCAGATCGTTTTTCATCTTTTTTTTTATTTTTGAAAACGGGCGATGAAACATGCAGAGCGGCTTCTCCGCAACTTTCTGACATTTATTGCATATCGGTATTTTCCTGCCTATGACTAGGTGATATATGCTAGCAAGAAAAGTAAACTAGTTTATCAACTGTTACAGTGTTTGCACATGACTAACTGCACAGTTACTATTATACCCTTTCGTGGATTATCTTACAACTCTACTTAGTGTGTCCAAATTCAAAGTGATAATAACCGTCATGGACAAGAGAAGATTATCACCTTTCCAAATCATCTCAGACCCAGCGGTTTGCTTTTATCCTAAAGTCGATCTCACGCGCTCGTCGGACGCCTTTTTGTAAACCAGACTATTCGAGTTTTTGCAAACTTTGAAAACATGATGAAAAGGTGGCAGAGGTTTGTACGCGACAACGTAAGAGTTTTTGACTGAATTCCGACAACTTTCTGTCATTTGTTGAAACTACGAGCTTATGAAACGATCTGATGCATGAGTGCACTTGTCGAAAGTTGTGCATGTGTTGCGCATCTCAAGGTTGTTCGAATATTTGCCTCACAAAAAAAGTGAAGTTTTCAACAGAAAATCAGAAAAGAAAAAATCAAAACAATTAGTAAAAGCAGGAATTTTTAAAAGGGATAAAACCCCGAAACGCGTTTAAAATTTTGTATTTGGCGTATTTCGAATTGAGGGTTCTCGCTACAGGGGCCAGGCAATCACAACTCAGCAAAAAAAGGAGGAAAAGCTAAGTTCTTCTCCCTACTTTTTTCCTGGTGATTATCGAAGAGGACGAACAAGGATAGAATTAATCATGCGCATGCAAAGTTTTGCGCTTACTAACAAGTAAGTCGAAAGTCGAATCCAATCTAGTTTTCGATGCATTGTTCAATTTTTACCCTGGCCTTGTTACTTCTGTTCCTGTCGACGTTGTCAGCTTTGTTCTGCTCACAATTCGAGCAAGTCGCCTCAATGGTGAACTGGTATCGACAACTCCAATGAAGATCTTTGAACAAAAACTCATTTTGAAATCTTTTATCAAACATTTTACCACAATCAAGAAAGTAAGCTCTGCGACTCTGTTTACTTTCGGACAGAAGCAAAATCTATTGACCACACGAAACTATGTGAAAAGAATAAAGAATAAAAGAACGAGACAGTTTCGAAAACACGGTTTTTGCCAGACTTCTCGTTCAAATTGGAAAATGGGGTTTTGCGAAGTTTTTAGTGTAAAAGTGGAAATCAAGAGCTTTACTATGATGTACGTCTGATATAAATGTTTAAAAAACGAAGAAAAGGTTACGGGAGCCAATTATGCCCCGTTCCCCGCGTTCAGATTAGCCAGCTGTCTCGCAACACGGAAGGCGCAGACAAGCAGAGGAAAAAGTGCAGAGTTAGCGGGGTATTTGACTCTAGTTGTAGACTTCGCACATAGAAAAACCCTACAACATTATATACCGTTTTGTTTGTTAAGATACGTTTAGGAGCACTGACAAAGTTGCAAACGTTGAATTTTATTCCTCCAAAAGATAAGCCAGCATTTTCGAGCACCCTTTATGCAATTTTTAAGCGCAATCTCTTGTTTCTATTGAACTCCAACAATTTCGTAAGTTTTCAAAACTCAGCACTCTGAAAAGAGGTTGATTGAAAGATGACTCCATAAATACACAAAAAATTCATTTTTGACACAAAGAAGACTATAAAAACTCTATTTTCCAGTATTGCTGGGATGTTTGTGAGGAATTAATCACTACACTTGCTCCATTCACATTCATTCCTATTTAGTTAATTAACGTCCAGGGATTTGACCCGCACATTGCGGCCATAACTGAAATGGAATGATTGTGCATGAATCAAGTTGTGTTTTTGTTTTTCACAAGACAACGGAAACACAATTCACTGTTTGTTCTGTTCCACTGTTTTTATGTTTCTTTTCGTTTGTTTCTTGTTTTTGTTTTGTTTGTGTTTTTTGTACAGAGTGTCCGTAAAGTATGTATACACTGTTTGATCGTAAATATCTATCTTCCCAAGAAGTCTTTTGCCTTGCTTCAGGTATTATTTTGTAGAGCTGGCTTCAACTTAGATTTGCAGTATAAAACAAATCACCCATCTCTCTTCATTACTGTAGGATTAAGGTAGAAACTTCGAAGAGGGTTTTGAGCCATGAAAGGCCATATTTTGCTTCAGAAAGGAAACAAAACAGCCTGAAAACTTTTACATTAGGCTAATTGGAGTAGCTGATTCTAACTGTAAAGTTCCCAACTTATTATGATGCTTCATTGAAGAGTTATGTCAGGTAGCGGACATTTTTTCAATGTTCCTAAAAAGTGCGGTTATACCGTTTAAAAAGCTTTGCAATCTTGTGAATAGTTGAGTATTGAACTCAGCGTTCATAAATACCCTATTACACAAGCTTTTACATTTTTTTGAAAAATTTTGAAATGGCAGCTTTTTCCACATTGATACCATTGTTCCAAGTTTCTACCTTAATCCTACAGTAATGAAGAGAGATGGGTAATTCGTTTTATACTGTAAATCTAAGTTGAAGCCAGCTCTACAAACGGTACCTGAAGCAAGACAGAATACTTTTTGGGAAAAGAGATATAAACGATCAAACAGTGTATACATACTTTACGGACACCCTGTATTTCTAACTGTTTTTATGGTAAAGGTCAAGTTCTTTTATGCCGCTTAAAGAGGTCAACAGAGTACATGGCTCTATGTATCGAAGTGTGGTTCAGATAACGGACAGGTTTTTGATTTCTATTTTGATTACATATATTCTTTAAGATTTTTCCGGTAAATGGATTAGCTGAAAACAACCTGGGGAAGGTAAGGTGGAAAAGGGGAGCTTGAAGAATTGCAGCAGAAAATCCTGAAAATGGTGCTGAAAAGAAAGAGAAACAAACGAAGAACGAACGAGCAAACGAGAAAAACCTATGAGCTTACCAATGCTGTTGGATTGTGGTTCATAGTAGCCATTCACTTCGACAGAGTTGAAATTATCATATTCGGAACGATTCACGGGACTCGGCAGTCTTTTGAACGAACATTCAATGTCCCATCGGCTCACCTTTTCCAACATCTCACTATACGAATCATTATCACGTATGTCTAGCTGAAATAGCATTTGCTCTTGAGTTAAAGGCAGAAATAAGGTACTTACGCCGTCGTAATACTGATCGAGTTTTTCGTTGTCCAAAATGAAATCAGGATAAGCTATTTTTGGCAATATTTGGTCCACCTTCTCTAGAGCGTCCTGCAATAATTATGTTTACCGCTTTATGGTTCAGTTTGTAATTTCACAGCTCTAGTTCGATCGTCCATCCAATCAGTCATGATGAGAGTTTGTCGAAATGCTGCTAGCAAATCATCAACCATTTCTAACGTGACATTCTTTGAAGCCTGAATTACTCGAGTCACCAGAAAGTGTAATCACCTTGAGTTTACCTGATCGAATGCTTTTCTCACGTATAGCGCACTGATAGCGTAAAGCATTCGTTGCATAGTGCTGCTAGTGCAAACTTTCCACCGTGGAAATTTTTCCTGTCGTCCATACATCTCCTTATCAAACTCCTGAAACTCGGTTTTGGGGTTCTTTATGAAAAATTGTAGTTTTTATAAGAAGGTTTAGACGAAAAAGCTTGAGCTAATGTTGATGGGTTTCGATTCTCAAAAGTATCAAATCAATTATTTTTGCCTGAGCATTATCTTCATATTTTTCTCCCATCTCTCCTTCCCAACTTGAAGAATAACGCATGAGTACATAGTTTGTGATTATTCGAGGGTCTGTTGTTTCCAAAAGTTCGTTTATTCTAAACGTACCTGATTGGTACTCAAACAAAACGAACAATTTTGGTGAATCTACCTTTTCAAATAGTCAATTTCTTTGATTATAATTTCTGGATCTGATTTAAGGTATTCATGAGAAGCAGATGGAGCAATGGCAAGGAACAACGCAGCCAGTCCACCTAAAAGATGAATTACGTAAAGTCGAGTAGATTTTTCGCTTGATATTCCGGGTTCAAAAAATACACTTTTTTACCGTTGATTACTTTCTTTCCGCAAAGTCTTCTGCTTAGCTTCAATTACTACAGATGAATAATATCGAGCTTAGGTTACACCTAGAGCCAATCGCCCATTGTCCTCCTGACTGTAAAATTACGGTGCGAACTTCTTGCGTACTGTGCCATAAAATTGGCCGGTCGAGAAAATATACCAAAACAATTTGGAAAACAGTGTAGCAATGTTTCCAGACACACTGATTTTAGCAGACGACGTTTTACGAGTTTTTTGAACGTTATGATTTACCCACACTGACAAACAGTGTGAAAACGCTGTTGTGGTTTACCTAAAAATAACTTATAAAAAAAGCCTTCCGAAAGCGCGAATTTTATATTCTTGACCAACTTGATTTAGCTGTAATGATAATATTTTCAGCGTTTACCTCTTCTACGGCTTAGCGTAATGACAGCTCAAAACCCTCTTCAAAGTTCCTACCCTACCCTACTTTAATGAAGAGCAGAGACTAGTTTGTTTCATGCTGCAAGTTGAAGCGTGCAGCTCTGCAAAGATTTTGGGAGGAAAGTTATCAACGATCGTGTGTACTTGATTTTGAGACATCCTGCAGTGTGTTTGCGGTGCCGCGAAAATGCGGTGAAATTTGCGCTAGCACAGATAGCCACGCTAATAATAGTGACGATTTGCACGCTGAAGCGGCCGGCATTCCAGGCTTTAGCTATTTTTCCAAGCACAAATTTTACGCATTTTCTCGGCACCGCAAGCACACTTCATCAAATGCTGAATTTATTCGAGCATAAATAACTGGTATTGACAGTGTTCTGACTTGGTCGTGCACCCACCACGGGTGTGAGTTTGCGCATGTCGCTCAAGTGGCGTAGATTATAAAGCGTAGTGAAGTTCCTGCGATCCTTATTTGCTACTAAGATTTCTGCCATCTTCGTTTCCAAATCGATTATTTCGTCAGTATCTTCTCCAATTTTCGTTTTGTTGGTAGGCAAATCTCCATCCTTTTGAAATAACTCAACCTGTAATTCTCACACTTCGACTTGCATAGCACTGTTTCTAGAAGGGAATTGGTTTACCTGATTGATTATGTAATTTCTCAAAGCTTCAATGTTCTTGCCGTGCTGTTCTCTTTGCAAGTAGTAAGCAGGTCCGCCTAAGCTGATGCTTCCTTGATCGAACTGTGAAAAACAGAATTGGCAGCACATGACAGAATTAGATAAGCCAAGCACTATGAGAGTAAAAACGAACGATCTCAACTTTGGGTGGTGAACTGGAATGAACCATATTATTAAATGCTCTTCAAGAAGCTAAATCCAAATCTACCTTCTTCAAATCCTTCCTTATGTGCAATTCAGTTTTTTGGGAAAAGTTGTGAGCGGTCAAAAGTATGAAGTCATCGGGGTTTTGATGTACAACGTACTTTGAAACGAAACTGGGACTACGCTAACATGATACTGAGTGCAAGGATTTTGAGGAATGCTTACATTTACCGGAAACACAGGTAAGTGTAAGTAAGTGTTTTCAAGAAACTAGTCCTTGAAGGTGCGTTTTAAAGGTTTGGCGTTGGATATTTGTCAAATTTGGACTTTTAAACGCTCATAATTTCTTCCAAGAAACCGCATCGCAGTTATGGAAGATAGATTTGGAATTAGCTTATCAAGACGCATCTAACAACATGCGATTCATCCCACTTTGCCATCTTAAGTTGGGATCATTCCTTGTAAGAAGTGGCTTTCTATACGAAAAAAGTATGACCGCTAGTCGGAACGTTGTTAGATGGTCTGAAAATTTCTTAACGTACATGAATTGCGATACGATTATTTCCTCAACAAAGCTTTCACTAAAGTAACGTCTGCTTCCAAAGTACGGCAGCTGGTAAATTTTTTTGAAAAGTAGTGATCGGACCATCCTGCTAAAATGACAGTCCACGATCGTTTTTAGATTGCAGATTTTGTCATGAAATAAGGGAGCTTCTCGTGTACTTATGAGCTTCTACTAAACCACAATTTAGCTTCTACTAAACCACAGCAAAGAGGCTTTTTGATAGTGTGGAAAAGTTAGAAGAAATGGCAGAAACAGGCGCAACCTCATAGTCAGGTCTCTACAGTTTTCCCATACAGTAACTCTCATGCACTTGCCAAACAAATCTACATCGAATTTTCACTTTCCTATCAATCAGTCGCAATTATTTCAGGCCAGCCTTATGCTTTAGCTAATACTTAATAGGATTCGCGATTGGCATTTCTCGAGCTCTCACGCCTCTCCTTTCATAAACCAGAATATCTGTTGCTTGAAGGACGAGAAGCTTGCCAAGTGAGTGTTTTTTTCTCAAAGATACTTTATAAAACACTCGAGTGACTTACTGTGAACTTTTCATTTGCATACAAAAACCACAGACCGTGATGAGATGGCGAGAGGCATTTTTTGAGTCGATAGTGTTGGAATAATCGATAAACGCTCTGACACCACGACTTTGTCCCACATGGGTGCGTAGCAAGTGGTACCTAGGCAGCCGACTGCTGCCGCAGCCAGCATTCAGGGCTGCCGGCAAAGCCGCTGCAGATGGTAAGTCATTACGTTCGCTGTCTAAAACTCTTGCCGAGAGGTTTTCTCGCACCTCGTTACTCTGAGGTGCGATATCAGCCTCAGGAAAGCGTGATATCCTCGATACATTTTGAACAGCAGAAAACTCATGTTCTTTGATAAACGCAAATAGACAAAGATAAACAGAGGAGGATTTTCTAAAGAAAGATGATCACAAAAACAAATCACTTCAAAAACTCAAAGGAAGCAGAGGCTGAAAAATCCAGGAATTCTCAAATTTTCAGAGATTTTTCTCGCTTTTACGTCGAAGAAAGGAAGATAAGTGTCCATGGAAAAGTGAATTTGATTTCTAAGAGTTCTTCATTGGAAAATTAAGGATCCTCAAATACAAGCGTCAATGGACATTTATTGTACTTTGATTTCAAAATTTGTTACAGAAAAAAAAACGTTTGATTTCCTACTCATTCATTTTTGTAATTGTTTGTGAATTTTTGAAAACTTTTCGGTGTAGCTTTGTATTCTACTGCTGTTCTCAATGAAGGCTTTCTCTGCTGTTCGAAACTATATAGGTAGTGAGGACATCACGCTATCATTGATCTACTCAGTTTGATTGACCCACTTTGCCTTATTTAGCTCGCTTAACGTCATTATGTATGAAGTAATCACTTTGACATAGTTTTCTTACCGTCAAATTGACATTTACCTGTAAGTCCTCGTCCCTTCTTCAACGTAAAAGCGAGAAAAACCTCTAGAAATTCAAGAACTCCCAAATTTCAGCTTCTGTTTCCTTTAAGTTTTTGAAGTGATTCGAATTTGTCATCATTTTCCTTTGAAAAGCCTCTCCCCTGTTTACCTTTGTTTATTTGCATGTTCCTCAAAAAACATGAATTTTCTGCGTTTAAAATAATATAGATATCGAGGATATTACGCTTACCCTAAGCTGATTTCGCACCTCAGAGCGACAAGATGCGAGAAAACTTTTCGGCAAGAGTTTTAGACAACGAGCGTAATTACAGTACCATCTGCAGCGGCTTTGCTGGCAGCTCTGGTGGTTGGCTGCGGCAGCAGTCGGCTGCCTGGGTACCACTTGCACGCCTCCCGTCCCACATGGATAAGCAGCGCCGTTAAGTCAAACTCCTTCTCTTTCCACTTCTCATCTCCTTCCAAAATAGGCCAAACGCCAAAACTCTGAAGCAATTTTTTTGACAGATATATCTGAGCTATGCGACTTACCCTGATATCTTCTATCATTCGCTTAGCACCGATGCGGTTCAGCTCGTCTATGTCCATGCATCTTTTATAGATGGCTTTTAGTGCATTCATAGATCTCGATTGAAATACCTCCTTTGATTCGAATATGTCTTCAAAATTCATTTAGCAAATATTAGACTTTAGCGTGAAGTGGTTTTTGATATGGGAAAACCGAAAATGCACAATTCTGCTAGATCGGTTAAAAAAAGCTCAATTTTTATACAGGTTTGGTTTTTTATGGCATCCTCACTCAAAGTTTACAATCAAAGAGAAAAGCTAACTTTTGCGCGATCCAAATGACTTCGAAACACACTTTCACACCAATATACGTACCTCTCATTTGCTCTTCCACTTTTGCAGTAAGTACATCCATCGGTGAGATGTAAAAATCATCTTTGGGTATCGGATGATGAGCTATCCAATGACCACAGCTGAACTCAAAAAAATCCTCGCATGGATCTACCTGATTGTGAGGTGCATGATCAATTGTATGAAACTGAGAGCAGATTTACGTAACAAACCGAAAAGTTGATAGATTTTGTAAGCATTTCCGACGCGAGATCGTATCCCGCTGATGAGTCGATATCCTTCAAGTCTTCATTTGGTGGCGTTATGCACCAGCACAACGGAACCACAAGCGATGCCCACCGCATCTGAAACTAGAAGCAAAGGTCGCTTATCTTTTTCACTAACGAAGCGTGTGTTACAAAAAAGTCAGGATTTAACCATATGATATACGTTTTGCACACAGCACAATATGACACAGCCGTCGGGGAAGGAGTAAGAGAATTTTTGATTTTTTTGCGCGCTTATGCTTCTAATATTGTAAAGAAATGAAGCGTGGCTGTCAAAAATTGACAAATTGATTTGAACTTTTGTTTTTTTATAATTTTGGTTAGTTACAAGTAGAACAAATACTTGCAAAATTTGATCACTTATCTCAGACAATTGCATCGGGAAGTTCGCGGGTGCTTGTTGACCACCAATCATCCATGCCGCGAGCTGCCCGGTAAACCCATATACTAGACCCGATAAGTGGCCGCGGCGCATCCTGTAAGAGCCCGTTAGGCGCCTATAGTTGACCCGATTAGCATGCTTGTAGGACCTAGGAAGAGTGAAGAACTATTTAGTCTTTCTTTCAAAATGACGAATTGAGTGCAAACTAGCAACTTGTTAGCTCATCTTTCACATCACCTAGAGTCGTCGGTAACACTCAACCGACTGCTGGAGTGTATTTCATGATCAAGAAAACTTGCTTCCATCAGACAGGACCAAATCCGAGAAGTGATACCCAGCTTTACAAACACTTAGGGTAGCCCTATCGCTGCGGCGTATCTCACGCGGGTTACGCACGCCTTGCCCTACAGCGTGTAAGAAGTGCCGCCTTTGATAAGGCCCGCGACCCGCTGAGTGAGGTGGTTGGGCCGCGACCCTCCCGATAATCTCTTCCCAATTTCGACTTTGGCCGCGGCGTTCCCGTAAAACATACATGGGCCGCGGCGTGCGGGGCTGATATTTCAAGGGCCGCGGCGCTCCATGTAACACGCTTTGAGGCCGCGAACTTTCCGATGCAATTGTCTGAGATGTAGGCCATACAAAAATTTTGCCACACACCTTCGAGAGAAAAGCACCCTTCTCCTTCAGTTGGGCAACGGTTAAACACTGATAGAATTCCAGCTTTTGAGCCCTGTACACCAAAACACTTCGAAGATAAAAAGCTCAGCTCATAAATCAGATACTGGATTAGGGCTCATGATTGAACCTTTGGTCTAGGTTACTTGGGCAAATTTCTGATAAAAAGTTAAGAATTTTAGTATCATTAATAAGTAAATGATGCTCGAATAATTGTTGAAGATTGGCAGATTATTGTGTGGTAATTCTGGAATTAGCGAGGAATAATCTACTCTTTGCCAAGTGAGAAAGAGAAAGAACTCTACCATGAACAGAAAAGAAACACAGTGCGGCAGCAAAATGCAGTAGAATGGCGTTGGTTGTAACAGATACCATCAAAGGAACAAAAATTAGCGAACGACAGTCTTACTCAGCAAAAAGATAGTCTCGCTCTGTTTAAATTATGAGCGCAGACTTTTGTCGTTGACAAAATATTTGATTTCTTTAATACCAATTAAATAATGATGTAGTTCGCGGAACAAAGGTACACCCATGATTATTCAAAAATTACTTGTTGACTACAATATTTTTGTCTCTATCTCAAATTTGTGCAATGTTTCGAATCTGAACTATGTTTGTAATAAGATCATCCTGAAATATGTTTGTAATAAGATCACTTACAAAAATTCTCTTATCTAGCGTCAAAAAATTGTACGGTTATGACTTTGAGTTTATCAATACCACGTGTAATAATGGGACAGATACCGATGAATTTGTTTCTTTGAAGCGACGTCAAGGTTTAAAATCTTAAGACACTGTTAAAACATGTGCTTCAAACTTGGACTTGCACTATGCCCTGCGTTCAAGAAAGGAAGAACTGATTTTGTTTCATTTTATTACTTTGTGTTCACAGGGAGGTGGGGAGAAGTCAAAAAGGCTATTTCCACCGGTATATTTAGATTCAGCCTTGAACGCTGGTTCTGACAATGAGTCTGTTTTGATGTCAGCTGAGCATGTAGGCGAAGGTTGCATATAAGCCATCATATTGCAAGAAATAGGTTTTGCAAAAATTGATTCGTCTACGGTCTAATGCTGAGTTAAACTGCAAATAAGCTGCTCCATGCATTCTATGCTCAGAGATGAACTAAAACGGATTTCATGTGTCTACTTTTGCAAATTGTATGTACGCTTTCCTCGCAGTAAAACTGCTCATACCTTCCGCAGAGGGTACATCTGGAAATAGGAAGATGGACTTGAAGAGGGTCATTTTGACTTTTGTCCAACCCGTAACTTCGAAAAATCTTAATTTTCTAAAAAAATTTTGAAGAGGATGCCGACCTTAACTCTCCAGCAGCAATTGGCATTTTGATTTTTTGACGTATTCGGTAGGTACACACAATTTTCTCTCTCTTCTCAAGTATTGCATAGCATGTATGCTACTTTTTTGGAAATTTTCTTCAGAAAATATGTGAATTACCACTCGCTATTTGAGATGGAGCGGATTTAGCTAACGAATTGACCGGTTTTGGTGCTATGCCATGCTCACCGTGTCCAAGCAAATAGGAGGAGTAGGCGATGTGAGAATTCACCTATGTTTGCCTTTGTTGCGACAGCGATTTGTATACTACTATCACTGAGGCCCGAATTTTGAAATATGTACTGAAAATATGTATAGGCACTTAGCAGATTGGCGTCTTGTTGTGAACCTGCCATATTTCTGTAATATGACCCTTCTATAATCGTCATAGCAGTTTTGTAATTTTATCAAAAACAAGCGAAAATTCGAGGATCCATATCAACAGACTTCACCGCTTATCGTAGCCCTATCAAGCTGCGGCATTAAAATTAATTAGAATTTGCAGCGCAAGAATTCGAGTGATAAAGTGCTTCCCATTTGTACTACCTATTTTTGGGATAAGACGTAGTTAATTTCATAGCGAGCGGCTAATCTCGATGACGATCGTGATGCGGAAGGCACAAAGTAGCCAATTACTAACCCTACCACCAGTAGCCTAGTAGTAACTTTCTGCTTTCGTTCTTTGCTGTAAAAAGCATTGAAGCAGTATCAGCAGTACCATCGAAATCAAATATAGCACAGCTTTACTTCAGTACATTATGCAAACAAAGAAAACTAGATGGCTCCATCGTATCCTCAAAGAAAAGGCAACCTAAGGCTGCGTTCATACTGATCCCGAAGTCCAGGAATAGAACCAGCACAATGCTCAATTCGAGGGTTGTGTTGAAACTGTTCCCGAACTTCCAGATCAGTATGAACGCAGCCTAAACATCCGCAGATTCGTCCGAATCTCTGTAAGGAGTAAAATCCGGATCTGGAGACGTGAACATGCGCAGTGAAGAGCACCCACAAAATGCACCGAGCCTTCAGCTTGTAAAATTGAAATATTCCTTTCGAAGGCGCTTTCCGGCCATTGTTCGCTGCGGCGGGTGTGCTTTATTTAAGGTGATGCGCATAAGCCGGAAAATAAAAAAAATTCGATCCAACTACTTTGCGAAGACTATAGACGAAAATCATGTTCAGAAAGGTTTGCCGACTCTCGCAGTTTTCTCAGCGGCCTGTGAGTGGAAGTGTTCAGCAAATAGTAGCGAAAAAATCGTTATTGAGAGAGTGAAAGTTTACTCTTCTGCTACCGCTGTTATTGTTCGTGTGAATGAGTTACCGAGTTTAAGATTCTCATAGTCAACATGACAACAACGACAACGATAAAAACAAATGCGAGTTATTTGCACGTTTAGCAAACTGATGCGTTTATGTTAATCACAGTACAAGCAACTATTATTGAACATTGACCAATGTTGATTTTCCACACAAACACCCTTTTTTAGTAACCACAAACTCAAGTACTATATTCTTGTAGTCGGATCTTTTTGTGCTCTTCGCTACTCCTTTCTTTCGCAAAGCACATTTCAACTTACTTGACTACGGCATATAATGTAGTATACGTATGATACCAGCTCACCCAATTCTCGGCCTCAGCTCAGGAACTATGAATGATCGTTCGTGATTTGCGATGGGCTAGGTACAATTAGTTGAGTAGATAAGCCTGCTGTATGACGAAGGCCCAATATATTTGGGCACAAACGAGGCTATTAGCCGCAGAGCGCATGATTTGCAACCTTAAAGGCAGTGCGTCGGCAGAATGAGACTCGTGGCAAAAGAAAATCACAGGGTGGGAGCTCCCATAATGAACCTATGGGCCAAAGTTCGGTCTTTCTCTGCCACTTCTAACCCCCGAAATTCCAAAGCGAAAGCAGCGCTCATCTCCTGTCTTCTCCGAACCCTCCCACCCCATGGACGAGTGACTTCCACGGTCAGAGCGCCAGTCGCAATGCTATAAGCATGAGGTCCTGCAACGACTCTGCGTCTTCGCCATGACGAGCTCCGCGTTCACTAGTGCTTTCGCTTTGAAATTTGGGGTTAGAAGTGGCAGAGAAAGATCGAACTTTGCCCCATAGTTCCATTATGGGGCTCCTACCCTGTGACCTTGTTTTGCCACGGGTCTCATTCTGCCGACGCACTGCCTTCAACGATACGCGGGTGCCGCGTTTGCGCCCGCTCAACTGATACTGCTTCTGCGCCTTCGTCGTGCAGTAGTTTTTACGAAGATCGGGCGCAGATTCGAGGTTAACAAATACTCGCGAATCAAGTAGATTGAAAAAATACTTACTTATTTATTTGGATACTGAGATCCCCTCTTTACACGGGCGCCCGCGCAGTAGTTTCCATTTCTCTTTACCCGCAAGAAGTTATGAGCAGCAAGAAGACACCAGTATTTTTCCGTTTTTGTTGGAGTTATGTTAAATGCTCTACAATTTTTTTTCTGACGTTGCTGGACATTTTTACAAAACTTGATTGCAAGCTTTCTACAATAATAGAGCCCAAGATTACTTCGTGGTTGAATACTGAACAGCGTTTGCACTACATCGAATCTTGCCTCAATAGTATACTGTCAAGTTTTATTGACATCAAATTGAAGACAGAAAAAACAATTTTGTTGATGGCGACATTGTGGGACTTCGGATACTTCACGCAAAGATTTCTTTAGATCATTCCTGAAAGAGTAGCGTCCACATAGTCACAAAAGAATTTCGTAAGAAATAATTACAGTTCAATGATCTGCACACAGATGCGGAAAAGGTACTGTCCCTCCTGTTGGAACATGGTGAACTAGCGTGATTTTTTATTGTTTTCGGTAGACAACGCAAACCCAAAATAGGGCCTTGAAAATCTGCGAATTCACCCAGCGGCAATTCCTATTCGCATCGCGTCCCTCTAGAAACTCATGCAGTCCACTTTACAGATGTAAAAACTACAGAAAATTTTTTCCCGATAAGAATTCAAGAAACTTCAATTCTTAGGGAACGCGATAGTGTCTGCAAAATGTCCTGAAGCCACTTAATCACTACAGTGGGAAAGTAGTTGTGGATTCCGTTATAAGATAACTGCTGCAACATATCTGTTGAATCATTAAGGTCTCTTTTATATATCAGAATTGCAAAGTTATAAATTTCTTCTATCTAGGCAATATCTCAGGGGAAAACAGAGGGACAGTACCAGGTTGAAAACTGAGAATTAAGTTTTGCAACTTTTCGAAACTCTCAAATAACTCACCTACGCAAATTTCAGCCAAATCTATAGTAACCCACCTGTGCAAGTTTCAACTGTAATTATTATTTATATCCCAATTTTTGTATTTTTTCCACGTATCCATAAACCTACTTTAACCCTCCCCGCGACATCATCATTTGACTGAGCAGTAAGAAAAGAAAGTTTAGAAAAGTTGCAAAATTCAGTTTTACTCAATACTTTTTTCGTAACCTGTACATGCAGGTGCTAGCTTTGTGAACATTTTTTGATTGCTGTCTTTTATATGGTGAAAGGCGAAACTAGCCGAACTATAGTAAATGCTGCATGAATGGGCATTAAATCTTTTCAGATTGCTTCTTTGCTGGTTTGCTTACCTCTTTGGAGTCGAATGTGCGCCTGATTGCTTTTGGTATGACTGCTTTTGCTTTTATGAAGGCTTTTGCTTTCGAATCGACTGCTCTTGGTCTTCTTAAGCCGGCTTTTCTTGATTCGCGTAGCTCTTCACCATTTTCTCCTTCTGGTTTGGGTAGTTTTTCATCACCTTCACGACCTTTTCGTGGTCCGAACGGTCTTCTCCCACCTTCTTCATTTCTTTGCGGTCGAAGCCTAGGTCGTTTTTCCTTTGGTCCTCGAGATGGGCGATTGGAAATTTCATCGGAAATCTAAGTTATTCAATATTCTGTGATCATATCTCAACGCTTCTCAAAACATTTTCTCAAGATGTATCTCCCAAACGTTGTTAGGTGTATTGTCAAACATGGAGACAGAATCTTACTTCAGAATCTAGGAAGTGCTCTGAGAAAAAAAAGGTGTGCTTTGACAAAATGTATTCCCACCGACAGCTACTTCAAGAGGCTTACAGATTAGCAATGAGGAGAGTTCTATAAGACTACATTTTCGAAGTTTTAGTCAGGTTAAAACCAATTATCATGCGTTAGCGATAGATTGTACACCTACAAAGCTTTCCTTTGGCCTCATACGATTGTAGCATGATATTTCTCGAAATCTTCCGATCCTTTGTTGCTACGAAAATAAAAGGCCATACTCAATACTTCCAAAATGATTCGATTTTTATAGGGTTGCCTGACCTTGACCCAGAAAAATCTGTGAATGTAAGCAGAACAGCACTCACCTCTTCACTGCTTACCGACAACTCTGTGCTGTCCTCGTCAGATTCAGCTAAAAGTATGTTCTCGTGATTAGATATACGAAACCGTGTTGATAAAACAAACCCGAATCAGCGCTGATCAGATTTATCGCAAGCAAGAACAGTACCTTAATCGACAACGTAATTAGTTAGCACCCCTTTTGAGCGTTTGTAAAATAGCTGACTTGGCTCGCAACTGAGTATAATAAATAACCTACCGTTCCAAGAATCAGTAGCTTCATACTTAATTCAAAATGTGATCATTTTTTGCTTTCATTACTTTTATATGTTGACTAAATGGCAAGCCAGTGAAAGCTGTGATAACACAGACACAACGCCGATTATGTCTTTGTGTAGATCGGACTCTTAATAACCGACAAAGACCCATTGTTCAAATAATATTTACCCTTTTCAGTCTCACCTCCTTTCCTCGGAATTTGCATCAACAATGTCTTGCAAGGGGCGAATACTTTGTGAACAAAATCATTAGGGAAATGCGTGGTAAAATCATGCCGTCATCTGAGCCAGTAACGCTTATTTCGAACTTGTAACTTCATTCCTGCGGAAGAATTTTTCAAAAAGATAAAATTCCACCAAGAATTGGATTCCTAATACGTTAAATCATGCATCGATGAAAATTTCCGCTTCTCTTCTCAAAGTAACATTACAGGAAAAACATCACCTTGATTATTTCACTCTGAAAAGCGGATGCTATTTAGTGTAATTCTCTTCTTCTCTGCAAAATTTATGCGAAAAGGCCAATAAATCAGCCTATGGTGTATTGGAAAGCAGATTTGTGAACGTTTAAAAACGCATTTACTGATTTCATGAACTCACAGCCACCGAGTATTGCTTCTCTATAATGTCATCACTAAATAGTTTGGTGCCTTCCATGGAAATTATATTCGCAAAATAATCAATAACTGATTATTTGTGTCAGCAATGCGCTTAAATCAAATATAATTGGTATTATGCGAATGGGACTAATACCGCAGTTTATCACTTATGATTATAACCATGTTTTTACGGATACAACAATTTTCCAAGAAATTCGCAAAAACTAGCGCATCATGTGATGAGTACAAACGTCAAGATCTATGAGAGCTCTGGCATGCACTCTAATGTTTGCTAGTACTTTAACAAAGGCCTATGCATTTACTTACTTTTCACACTGCCATCATGAAACAACGACTGATATTCATTTCTCTGCTGATGACAAAAAACTCAATTCAATAGCCGTTTTGTCACCTTTCAAACAGATTTGAAAGGATCGTTTACAATTTTGTTCAGCTTGTTCTCGAACTATAGACCGAATGTTTGAGTGCATCACGAAGCTATTCGCTGCGGTTGTTCGCAGCTATGGGTGCCGAGCATACTCTCGATAGTCTGGATAGAACCTCAAAATGAAGGTTGTCTAAAGCTCCGCCCTAGGTGAAAAGTGAAGGTTGTTCGATTGTTGTTGAAAGTTGCTCAAGCAAGCAAAAAATCCGGACAGTAAAAACCTTGCTATATGTTTGAAATCTTTTCTATTGGTTTTTCCAATTGCATATGCTTCAAAACCGCGGTTCACAAACGAGAGAGGGCTCATTCCTTCCTTGCAATCCTTCCAGAAGCGAACGATTTGAAGGTGGCAATTCAGGAAGAGCATGGTCAAATAGGAGTTGCACTCAAAAGTTTTGTTTTCAAAGTCAAGCTGCATGCCAGTAATCTAATTTATAAAGTGTCCTTCAAATTTTTACGCCCGTCTTGTCTCTATTTCCGCGTTGTTTGCTCATCTTTCTTTGCAAGGGACCCCTGAAGTTGTTCAAAAAATTGATACTATTGAGAGCGCCATGAAGAAAACGCAATTTCTAAATCTTTTCACCAGATACTCCGCCAGAGTGAGAAGAATAAACTTGGCAACATTGTCTGCATCATAGACAAAAACAGATCTATCGAATGCACGAAAAAACTGCATGAATAGAGCTATACTGGAGGAAACAAAAAGGATTTGAAAACAGAGCTTTTACTAACGGGGAAAGTAAACTAACTGGTATGTCTTTTGAAAAACGATATCTGTTGCGTCAGCTTGAAGCGCTGAATCCAGATATCTTGTCGCCAGCTGCGAAGCGTGATTATGAACAGAGTTATGGGCTTTTTCCTGTGCAAATTTTGGATGATAACCCGACTTACAGAAATTACGGTATCAACGTTCAGAGATATGCACATATATAATGCTCCCTATCAGCACCAAAAGACTTGACTCGATTTATTTCAATAATCCAGCACCTTTTCTAAGCAGATTTCTACTTATATTATAGGCTAACCCCATGTTCAATAGTGCGTCAACGCGCATAGTAAAGCTCGTTACTCTTTTCAGAATAACGCTTTGCTGCTAGAAACAACAAATTTAGACTCGTTCCAAGCAGATTCCGATTATATGTGCCGTTCATCTGAAATCAATGTTAGAGATATATGAGCAACAGTGTGGAACATTACTTAACAACAGGGAAATCGCCCACTCTGTTCAAAGGCAGTGGCTCGGCAAAACTCAACAACTCAAAATTTTAATGCGGTAGACTTCTTATTGCCCAAGTATGAAAACAGTGCAAAGTTGCACAGCATACCTTCCTTGCCGAGAAAATTGCTCTCAAACTTACACGCCCAGGCCATTCTTGCACGCATCTGGACGAGTTGGCAATTTCCTTCTCATCATTGGAGGGTGCCCGCCGCAATGATATAACCATTGGGTCCTGCAACGATTCGGCGTCATCAGCCTTGCAGCACTCGTCCAATTCCAAAGGGAAGGGCATTGAAAAACGCTCGTTTTCGGCATTTTCAAGCTCTCAAAAGTGGATTTTCGGAATCAGCGTATTGAATAACCCCAGGTAAGCAAAAATTTGACTATGTTGAGGTTTGCCGAGCCATTGCCTTTAAAAACTTGGCTAGAACGCCTGTAGCATCAACAACCAAAGAGAAAGAAAATAATTTGAACTGCGGGCTAAAATTACATCTTTGCCACAACCGACGTGCTCAAATTCAAACTTGAGTTTGCTCAGGGGAGGGGGGGGGGAAGGGAGGGGAAGAACAGCTATAGTCTACTTCCCGGATTTTTTTTTGGTTTGATGAGATGCTAATGGGGACAACTTGAATTTACCATGCTTTGTACGCTCTGACGAAGGGAAATAGTCGCGTTAGCCAAACCAACTTTTCAACAGTCCTATGCTGGCTACAACAACTCCAATATCTACGTCTATCGTAACTGCAGATCTTCGTGTGATTTAGGATGTCGCTTGTTGATTCACACCATTTTCCCGCGCAGCATACATCGAATGAAAAACCTTACTTAGAAACCCGCAGGAGGATACCTTTGATTTCTTCCCCCGCCTGTACCGATAACATATTGTTATGATACTTATTGTTCGTTCATTGTTTTGTTTCTTATTCCTCGTATTTTGGTTGCTGTAGCTCAGGTCATCTCACAACAAGAATGCTCGCTAGTTTGGCTTTTCATTCCTGCATACATCAGCTCTTCGAAATATTAGGTCGTTTTATAAATTGATAGAGTTGTTATAAATCAACGAAATGACGAAATCTTTGCAAAATTCAATTAACAATGTATGTTCAGGTATTGCGCACAACCTTCTATCACCATGCCATCAGATTTTCAGTTCCGCTTTTCCAAAACCCAGCGGGTCAGGTCCCAGAAAAGTCGTCTAACCGGCGCCTGAAATCGCCTTCAAAATCAAAACAGACGCCGTTATATGACTGGAGCAGAAGACAATATGCTAGAGCGAGATCTCAGGAGTACATTGAGTACTAATGTACCTCCCGGTCAAGTCTTGCAGGACAGCTATGACGGCGTTTGTCGTAGGGGACCAAATTTTTCGCGCAAAAAAGCTCAATGGACCTGTTTATTAGGCTTTTTGTGCAGCAGGAATTAGACGTGCAATCGGGTCGCATACGGTATGGACAACCGTCTTGCTCTTGCCTAGCAAAACTCAGTGCAGAACCTCCTGCCCATCCTGCATAAAGTCTTGTTCAGATGACACCCTGCAAACTCTTTCTTTTTTTTAAGCAATCCAATTCCTTTTTTGTCTCATATTGACAAGAAAACGCCTTCTTCTATAATCGGCATGAAAATCTGAACAAAACACCCTTTTTCAATAAGATAAAAGAGCAAGTGCCGAAAATGCTCCCTTTTGCCTTTTGCCAGTTCAAATCCGATACGGATTTGAACAGCCTGTATAACACACTGTTAGAGTCGCTGTGAAAATCTGCAAATTTAATGCAATGTTTCTTCGAAATCGTCGCGGAGACGTATCTCTTCTAAAAGTGGATTTTAAGAAGAAAACTCATATAGTCGGGAACTGTTCTGATATTGTAAGAAACCCGCTTCTTTTCAACTTTAGCTGATTCCAAACACACCTGTATTGCTGCTTGTGATTAACTATGAGGTGGCAGTATCAGGAGCTGAGTGCTAACTATATAAATTTACGCTTCGCACACATGGTCTCCTTACACTTAGTGGCTTCACATTGGCCCGTAGTAAACCTCCCATCAGTGCAACTCGACTGGTGCTCGGCGGGCCTACGTGAACGTAGGACGCCTCAGTCGCATCTAGTGAGCTATTGATCCGGATGCGGATCGCTTTATAATCATGATAATCATGTGTTTTTGAAAAAGGAATCACTTAAGCCATTTTAGTCGAACAGGTAAGCGACTGGAGTTGAAAGCGCGCGACTATGGTTTAACAACGGCTAGCGTCACATTTTTGCTGTATCGCCTGGCGTCTTTGATAGCGACTACTATCGCAAAATCGATGATGACCGCCATCAAGGATTTCGCCCAGCACATGCATGGATAAAACAAAAACACATTTTTGACGAAATTTTAATGAAAAAAATGAAATGGTTGCAACATGAACTCAACGAATGAAATCGATGAATTTTTGTCTTGAGCAGCTTTTCAAAATAAAGTCAGCAAACTTTACAAAGAAGAAAAAATCTGTTTTTTCCTTTCCACGCCAAAACCAGCTGTTCATTGATTCTCTCCTTTTCGGGCCGCTGTATTGTGCAGTTTTGCGCCGATTTTGTCCGCAGTGTTAGGCAAACTGAAGTGTGTAAGTTACTCAGGAGCAATTTACGGAAGTCTTCTCTGCGTCCCCTCTATTCCACACTATTTGCATTCGTCTAACATCAGTTGACTGCAGGTGGACGGATGGCCAACTCTCAGTTCACTTGCCACGCTTATAGCATGGGAAGATGGGCGGTCATCATCTCACCTGACGTAAGCTCAACTGATGGGTTAAGTTCAGTTCACCTGAACTGATCGAGCTCTACGGGCCATTTTAAACGGAGCTTGAAGAGAAAAAAGCAAAAGAAAAGAAAAAAAGTAGATCTGAAATCGAATTTCTATGCTGCGCCATAATCCACGCTTTTGAGAATAGCCACTTCCGCTTCTGTCCACTGCCCGTAAGCTTTCAAAGGTCATTTCGCGAATAAGCCTGAAAAGATTGTCCTTTCGCATGGATGGTCTCTAGCGCTACCCTAACGACTTTGCTTGGATAAAAGCTGTGCCGATGTAATCGGCACCTCTCTTTGTAGCCTAATTCTTATGCCAGATTGCCGTAAAGGTCATGCCATAAGCATGACCTGCTGTGATATGAGTGTGTTGATTGTCCAGATGCATGCCAAGTTACTTTGCTCCGCCTGTTATCCTCAGTATTCTACCACTGTCCCAATGCGGACAAATCAACTGACTCAATAAATCTGTTGGGCTAGTGTCTGTGCACACCAACAGATACCTCCACAAAGGCGACAACTACGCCTAAGGCTACGTCAACGTACGTCGAATAATAAAAGCCTAATAAAAGCCGCCGCAGAATGTATTTGGTGGTCCTGTGTGGAAAATTGCGGTCGTGCGAATCTACAACCCGTCTGAGGTACTGATTTTCAGATGTAATCGCGCTCAGAATTTTTTACATTCTGAGCGCGATTACATTACATTCAAGACTATATAGTGGGACGCTGATAAAGAAGGGACTCATTGCTAGCTGGTATTTTGACTTGTGATGATTGTAGTAGTATAATTTATTCTTGGCTTACAAAACAATCCATGGCGAATAACATCAAAAATGAACTTGAGCATAACATAGCTCATTGTCTTAATTAAAATTGGTTCTGCAAGTTCTGCTCAAAACTAGAATAAAATTGCATGCATATTTACAATCCCAATTTATTCCAACGAAATATCATATGGGTAAAGAATTTCAATATCAATTCTATCTGGAATTGCACCGGAGCAAAATTGGACCAATTTGCGACACCTGTCATATACACTCTAACGTAAAGTAAACAACAATACCAAAGAAACACGTAATGGCAGATCATGAAGTTGAGAGCAGAGTGTCGGAAATGTGCACCTTTGAGATTGAACAACTCCCAGCAATCAAAGGTGAGTTTCTTGTGCATCACTGCTGAGCACGATCCTTAACGTTTCGCTAATTCGCCGCTGTATCGAGGTCCGTTTCGGCTGTTGCGATCCGCTGCAATAAAAATACTTCAAAAGCGATATAAAGGTACTAAGATAACTGAAGCGGAACGAGGAAGAGGAGAGAGAGAGGAGGAGGAGAGAGAGAAGGGGGATGTCATACACCCCAAAATTTTTCAAAATTTGTGGTCTGCATCTGCTATAACGTGGTGAGCTTGTCAGTACTTTGAAAATTTCGTACAAATTAACTTGGACTTTTTTCTGAGGGTGTGACCACCGCCATGGGATTATAGGAAGGTCTTCGATAATTCAAAAAGCATTCTGAATCTCAAATATTTCTCTAGTACATACTTAATTATCTTCTCAATCATTCTTGACATGGATTACTGCCACCAATGGTAAATGCAGTCAAATCTTGAGAAAGCTAGTTTGAAAAGAATTTGGAACTCAAAAAACTGGAATTTTGTAATACAGCTTCATATTCGTTTTAATATTTTTGAAAAATATCGATACATTTTCACTAAATGATAATAACTGATGGTCTACGTCATATAGTACAGTTGTCATGCAGATTTCCACATCCTTAGTCCATTTAATAGACAGTTAAAGGCAGCGTCCAGGCAGATCTGGACTCATGGGGCCTTCACGTGGAAAGTACTTTTGGGGCCCTAACTAAGGCACTGCCCAGGCGGCAGCTCAGGTAGTGCTCTAATGGCTGAGATATTCCTCTCGAAACTGGCCCCCGCGAACGTATTCGCATGGATTCATGGCAGTTTCGCGCCAGGATCCACGCTTTGCGGAATCCATGCAAAACACGGTCGCGGGGTCCAGTTTCGAGGGGAATATCTCAGCCATTACAGCAATACCTGAGCTGCTGCTTGGGCATTGCCTTAGTTAGGGCCCCAAAAGTACTTTCCACGTAAAAGCCCCATAGGTCCAGATCTACCTGGACGCTGGCTTTAACTCAAATTACTTACAAGGGAAAGTTCCCAAGTCAGCTCGGCCAACCCGGATGGGTCATATATCACCGTAACGAGCTTAAAACGCTGATTCCAAATCTGCTTTCCTTTTCTGCGGAGAAGCTTTTTGAGGGAAGTTATGAGCGTATAAATGTCTGAATTTGTCATGTTCAAAGTGGCTTAAAATCAGTTGAAAACTGTAAAACAACACCTAACGGAATTTCATTATCTGTGTTCCGTTCTTGTAATCAATATACTTGATACAAAACTGATAAATCACTTTCATGTGTTATTGTACAGGTTTCGCCAATTTTAAGCCTCTTAAAACGACGAAAAAGACTTTTAAACGCTCATAACTTCTTTCGGAAAGCCGCTCCGCAGAAAGTGAAAGCAGATTTGGAATCAGCGTTTTAAGCCCATTACGATTCCCGTTAGCACAATTAGAAAAATGTTACAACATTTCCTTCTGTATAGGTGTCGTCTTGATTTAAGTACTAACGAGGGAGAGTTCCCAAGTCAGCTCGGCCAACCCGGATGAGTCATATATTTATAGTCGTTTCAAGCCCGTTACGGTGATATATGACTCATCCGGGTTGGCCGAGCTGACTTGGGAACTCTCCCTCGTTAGTAATTAAATCAAGACGACACCTATACAGAACGAAAGGTTGTAACATTTTTCTAATTATACTATCATCGTAGTCCTTGAGAGATGATGAAATGCCGCAGATGCGAATTGCAAAAACAAGTGTTGTGTGATATGTTTTCCCGAAACCAAAATTTTTCCTTGTGATCATAAAATGCCGTATAACACGCACGGGCTATAGCTCAAAAATCCTATTCATAGACTAAGCAGCTTTCCAAATGTATCGGTCTAGTGGAAGCTGTGAGAGCTTTTTCTTGTCAAAAATTATCAACTACCGCATATACTGTGCACATGCCTGAAAATGGCATAGAAAGTGTGAGCACAGAACGACGTAATTTTTACCATTCATTTTTTTTTGTTGAGGGGCATGACAATCCGTCTACCTTCCCGTTAAAGCATGCCGATAATGTATTTTGACACACTGACGACCGCTTGACACCATGGTGTGTCAAGGCTTGAAACACCAAGTGTGTCGTTGAAATGGTTACTATTTTGTGTCAAACGACTCCGGATGTTTTTTCTTATGCTAGATCTAGACACAACCTCTACTGTTTTTGCCTGCATTCCAGCGTTACTGTAGATGTACTGTAGGTAGAATTGTGCGTGATTTTATCTAAAAAATGTTGAATGGTCCGAAAACGCCTTGGTCGTCAATGTGTTAAAGTACTGTTGCTTCCAACTATCACAGCGCCAGTGGCGGACCGAGGGGAACGGGGACGCCTCCCCTAGAAAGGGTCGCGAAATTCTTGAAGTTCACTCACGAGGGTTATAGAAATGTGTAAGTGACTTGTTCATTCTTGTAAATAATCAAATTGATCTTTTAAATCTTTTGAAATTCAAAATGGCCTCGTAAAAAAAATTTCTCGAGGAGTGGCTGCCGCCAAGGGGTTATGGGCACGCAAAGTTTTGTAAAAAACCCCAAAAAAAATTTTCGGAGTGCGTGACTAACGCCACAAACCTTCATTTGAGAAAATTCTTGCCCCCCACCCCGGACGGAAATTTCGGGACCGCCAATGCAAAACGCACATGATAGCTGCAAGAGCAACGAAAGAAATTGTAAACGTGATTTTCTCAAACCAACTTCCTTTAGAGAGCCGATTTTGAATACTTTCCTAAGTTCAAGCAGTAGGCGTTCATACTTTAACTTAGTACTGAGCGTTATGACTACAAATCACTTGAAATGATGAATTTGACTTACACGGGTGGTGCAAAAATCAAATCACTGCCAATAGCAGCAGCCCGACTGGTGATCGAAGGGAAGGCATCATCAAGGATTAGAAGGCACTCGTCAGGGTTGCAGATATCAGACACCGATTGTACATGCTCCTGAGCTCGAGACACCCGAAAAGTACCCTCCTCAGCATTGGTGACATCTGCAATCAAACATTTTTGTATAAAAACATTCGAAATTACGAAAAATTTGCTTACAGTCAAGGAATCGCCACTCTTTTCCAGCTTCATATGGCAAGCAGGGATGATCGCTTAGCAACTTCTGGATGTAGCCACGAGCAACACTAAGCTCACTTTCGGACTCCAAGTTGATGACACCGATTTCGAATGCTGAAGTCTTTTTTTTTTAAATCAAGGATACGGTGTTAAAACACATGTACCTGTGTCTTTCAATCGTTCGATAGCGTCTTTATAAGTATCATAATCATGACGACCCACAACAACCACCGGTAGCTGAATCATTAACGAAGTGGACATTGCCTAAATAATAATGTAATTTCTTCTGTTACGCGAGGCAAACGAGAAGGCTTGCACTCATACTTACCTGTGAATCCTTATGGTAGTTTCTCGTGTTTCTACGCATCAAGTTTGGTGTGCAACTTGCCTTCTTTTCCCTTCGTAGCATTGGAACCTGTACTCAAACATTGAATACTAGAATGGCAAGTGAAGTGGCTATTTCTTCGTATTAATGCATCCAGAAGAGCGGAGATTGCTGTACATGGCATTACTCTTTGATTCAACTGGATTGGCGGCTGGAAGGCGAGGCTTCGTGACCTAGTTAAAGGCAGCGTCCCGGCAGATTTTGCATTTCCATCTTTTTGCATGTTTTGGGCCTTTTCAACCCGTAGATCCCGAATCTGAGCTTTGAAAGGGGTGAAAAGGCCTTTTTCGGGGCTTTTTTTAATTCTCCAAAAGGCAGCTCGGACGAGAATTTCCAAAGGAAAGACGGGAGGCCCTGGCACGAAGACCCCCTGCTGCCTGTAATTTTGGCTTTGTATAGCATGCACAATGCGGGAAAGCGGTTGGGGGTCCCGCGCCGTCCAGGGAGAATACTCGTCCGAATAAGGTGTTAGGGGAGCGAAAGGAGGAAGGGGAGCGGAGGTTGGGCCGCCCCCTGGCTTGCAGAGTTCACATTTTCGGCGCGGAGTTGCTGTTTTGGTTCACTTGGAGGACCTCCTATCCACCTGTGTCAAAATCTGAGGTAGGTCAATCTGCCGAGCCGCTGCCTTTAAGACCAGAGAATGATCAAGAGCACGAGCGCGAGAGAGACGTCGACTGCGTCGCGGGCCTCAATTAGGTCACAAAGCCCCGCCTTTCAGCCGCATCTAGTTAAATCAAAGGTTGTGTAGCTTACTTGACCAGGTGAGAAGAGTTTAGGGCAAGGGGTAATAGCGGGCGGAGCCTGAGTAGCAAGGTAAAGAAGGCACTTTCGATTACCTCCTTTACCTTGCTACTCAAGTATAAATTCTACTCAGCTTGTGCAGTATGTGTGCCTACTATATATTGGAGCTCTTGAATGTCATAGCTTTTACCGAAGATGGAGTGAGCTTGGACAAAATCTCATCTTTTCAGTTCCCCTGTTTCCATAAGAATCAGAGATTATGCTCGTGCTTGATATTATCTTGTGAGCCTTGCTTTCTTCTACTCAACAATGTGACGCATGCCCCACTTATTATTCACAAACGCAAAAATTTGCCTAAGCGCACTGTCCGTTTACTGTTAGATCCATACAATGCACATTAATTCACAACAAAAGCTCTAACAAATCGAAAAAAGACCATACCGAAAGAAGGAGACTCAATTTGCAATATTCTGCCAGATGCTTACCTTGCTGTGAAAGCCGAGTCGTATATGGGATGGAGCAAGCAAACATGGCTCACCATCAACCTGTGATGAAGCAGCGCCTTTATGTCTTTTTTTATCGTAAGGTTAGGTGGTAGGTACCTGCATGGGAATGGCTTTGTAAGTAACGACCTTGACAGAAGAGCATTGAGCGAGGCGCTCTCCCTTCCCACCCATTTGCAAAGCTGCCTAAAATTAGGCGGATTCGCGAAGAAATTTCATAATTTAAACGAAAAAACCTACCAAAGTAGCAGTCGTAAATCCCAAGACTTCTATCATGCCATCGCAACAACTGGGTTTTGAGCTGTCACCTGATTCGCTTCCCCAAGGGATAGTGCCACCAGCGTAGTAAGTGATGTTATGGAAGAGAATGCAATGCAGTTTGAGCTCCTTTATTCGTGGAGTTAGATCCACTCCATCACACTGAAAAATATGATCATTCACTGATAGAAAGCAGATATTGATTGAGTACCTCTAGATAGATGTAATCGGACAGATCCTTCCAACTTCTCTTGAACAGATCAATGGTTCCTAGTCCGCCATAAGCGATACGGTTTTTTAAACGACTGTTCAGCATTTGGGGATTGGCACCTGAATATCTATGCTTTTGATATGTTCTCTCCATGTGGTAATGACAGATACTTTTTCAAGGGTGGGACAAGGGACAAAAGTTTCCCCGAGATAAAAGATGCTACTTGAAAATGGGTGGCGAAAATCCTGAAAGTGGTCTACAAAATCATTGCGAACGTTTTGGTACATAACTAAAAAAATTTCAATTTTTGTATAGATTCAAAATTAGCCCCAGAAAACTGGGGCGCAGTCTACACTATGCTCCACCTTTTTTTTAGAATTTTCACGAAGATGCACAGAATGCAAGCTTTCAACATAGATTTGCACAAATAATGAATCATCACAGCTATCCCTTAGTTGTGAACTCTCGTCAGATGTCAAGTTTTACCCTTTGAAAAAATTCTGCCTTTTCTTACCCGAAGGGTCACCTCTAAAAGGAAAACTACCGCTCAGTAACTATCTAAAGTCATAGGCCCGTAGTAAAGCTCGGTCATGGGATATTATCTCCCCTGAGACCTTCATGTGAGGTTCTGTCAGTAAAATGACGACCGCCCATTTCCCCGTGCTATAGGGATGCAACGTCACCTGAGAGGTGAGCCTCAGGTGAAGTTCGGCAGGAAGATGATCTCCCTGCCGGGTCATGGGAGATGATATGAGCGATGATGTCCAGAAATAGTGTGCTAAAAAGGAAACGCAGAGAAAATCTTCGTAAGTTGCTCCTGAGTAACTTACGATACGCAGCAATTTGCCTAACACTGCGGACAAAATCGGCGCAAAATTGCACAACCGCGCCCGAAAAGGAGAGGATCGATGAACAGCTGATTTTGGCGAGGAAGACAGAGAAAAACAAATTCTTCTCTTTTTTGTAAACTTTACTGGTTTTTTTGAAGCTGTCCAAAACGAGACTCATTTGTTCATTTCATTAGATTCACGTTGCAACCATTTCGTTTTGTCGCAAAATTTTCGTAACGAAATGTTTTTTTGTTTTATCTTTGCGTTTGCTAGGCGAAATCCTTGATAGCGGTCATCATCGATTGGATAGTGGCCGCTATCAAAGATTGCCCGGCGATGCAGCAAAAGTTGTGTCGCTAGGCGGAGTCGAACCACGGCCGCGCGCGTGTAATTCCAATGGCTTACCCATTCAACCAAATCGAATCAAGTAGCCGTTTTTTCGAGAACGCACTTGGTTATAATGTCTGGGAAGCGATCTGCATCCAGATCAATAGCTCGCCGGATGCTGGACTGAGGCGCCAAGATATCAACTCCGGTCCGCCTCAGGGGAGATGCCCTGACGGTAGTTTACTACGGGCCATAGTTTCAATCAGATTTTGGAAATCTGAGATTCTAAAGTTACCCATTTCAAGCGATTTGTGGGCTGGTCCAAAAAACGGCACGAGCTTCCCTAGTATATTGATTTTCAAAATTTGCTTACTTCGACTATGATGGAATTGCAGTGCGACATGAGCATCTGCGCCTATCGAGAAGTAGTTATTCATGACGGTCAGGGGTAGGGATGACTGCACCGCATCACTCAGATCATCCGTAGAATCCAAAGGAGAGGTCTCGTTCGGCTCGACATGGATCTTCCACCTAGAAAATACTACTTACAGGATAGCGCAAAAGACTGTGTTTCACACTGCTTTTGGAAATCTTCAAAAAACGAGATATTACCGGTCAAGGTGAGTGATGACGGTTTCATGAAGAATTGCCGACAAAAGCTGGCTCATCGGTTCATCTGAGGGCGCGCCTCCCCATCCCATGCATCTGTGCACGTAGAAGAAACTAGTAAAGGGCGCTATGGGACCATGAAAACTAACCGTGAAAGGTCGTTGCCGGTACCCAAGGGCATGATGGCCATCGGAGGATACGCAGGCCAGTTCAGCTGCAATATACTTTCGAAAAAGAAGTTTGTGATTACTCCTCGTAAGACTCACATTATCCAGGGTTTGTAGAACCCATCCTACGGTTCCATCGCCACCACAGACCAACAACCGTAACTGAGTGATTACTTTCCGAAACACCTCCAGCCTGAAAAAACCACTTGTTCAGCTTGGTTCATTTTAGAAAGATCTCGAAGAATTTCGTCAGTATATAATGCTGTAATTTTGGACACCGTAACAACTCACCCATATTTCGGTCCTTTAAGAGCAGTTATGTCAAACACTTGTCGTGGGTTCAGTAGCCAACACAGGGTATGCAACGCTTTTGAACCCTAAAATACTTTGTTTATTTTTTCTCGTGCAGAAGAACATGAATACTGCGTTCAAGACAAAGGTTTGGCAAATCGTGCCTCCTTATGTACTTCTGGCGTTGGACCAAGTTTTCATCTTTTACAGATTTCTGTGAAAGCTCAAACTATGTTGCTCATTTCCAGCTCAGTTGTTACAGTACTACAAGAACCGAGACAAAGACCGCTTGGTAAAAACTGTTTGGACTTGTAGAGTAAACGCTGAAAATTTCTCATCATTTTATTTGGAAGAAAGAAACTCTTAATTTGCTAAGTTTTTTTTTTACTTCGCTAGAGCACAGAGTACAGGAGCAAAGCAAAAAATTTCACGAACTTTCCGAAATTTGCCCAAGGAGTCCACTCTCACCTTATTTCCACCCGACTTAGGATTGACGAAGACCAAAAGCGGTTGCGATGGCCCAGCTGTCCAGTCATTAGGTTTCACGATGAACTGCCGAGTTGGCTAAACAAACAATTCACTTGATCAAAGAAAATGGTAAGGCCCACAATGAGCTCACTTTTCGACTTTGCCGATTTGGTTGCTTGTGCTTATTTCTGTGACGGCTGGGAAGCCGCAGGATCCAGTTGGGTGGTACAATCATCTCACGAAGTTGACCTCGGTCACACCTAATTTGGACAAATGGATAAAAGATTTTCTGGGAAAATAAAGACTAACCGTTCTTCTAGCTTTTCTCTTGTGAAGCAATTTTTCACATGGTAAGATTCTTTGCACCAGGAACATACCACAGCCACAGTTTCCTAAAGTAATATTATAGCATTTCACGATCTCCGTTTCTATGCCGTGTTATTTTCCTTTGTTACTATAATGAGAATTAAAGAGCGTGGAAAAACATTCGTGCAGTAATCCTTTCATATCTCTAAAAGAGATCGCATAATTTTGCGAAAAATATTGAGAGATTCTTGACAAACGAAAATTCTTCAGCACTGAAAAACTTGGAAAAATTGTAAAATTTTTTACCGTAGCTTTTGTCATACCCACTAGCGTAAAGCAATGGCCTATTCGTGGCTAGAGGTTAACTTGAAAAATTTTACAGACCTCACTGATGAGAATGAGAAAATGTTAGATTGTGAAAACTATTTCTCTATCATATATGTTTCATACTTATTCTTCTGGGTGTAGGATAAAAGATAATGGAAAGATACCATGATTAACATGACGATAAAGAACCCTTAGAAAGCATAATCACTGATGAGCTATATAGAACTAACCTTTTCTTTTTGTTGGAAATTGAACATCTTTTGCTGGAATGATTTTCCGCATTTGCTGCATCTGCCTTCGTGACGCCACTGGAATGAAAGAGTCATGTATTTACAAAGAGCTTTTATGGTTAGAAGAGAGGGATGAGAGGGAGAGATGAGCATAAGACGAGTGTTCATTTACAAAATGCTACAGAATTGCAGCTTTTTGAGTGAAAAATGGGCCAAGCCTTTTTTGGACATTTTGCGCAGAAAATGTTTTGAGGAGACATAATTTACGCAATTTGCGAAAAAAGCGAAAAAAGTGTGTGTTTTTGTTACACAATCCAAGACTGAAACGATGAAAAAGTCGAATTTTTGATTGAACCTAAAGCTCAAATTCTGCACGAAAAATCCCGGTACTGCAATTTTAACATTTTTGGTGAATGGAAGTCTCATTATAAATCTAACCAATCTCCAGAAAAATTTCTTTGATAGCAAACGAAGAAGGACAATTTTACCCAACAGCTGAATGTCCATACATGCTTTTTTAAAAATCCTTACCTTATGAACCCAATGGTGCATGCTCAAGCTGTCTATTGCCTCTTTCGGTGGATGCTTCTTCAGCGAATGATCGTGGAATGTCATCTTGCAGTTGAGATTCAGCTAAATAATACCACAATTTTTTGAGAAAAATTATAAAAGAAAACAAAAAAAAACGACCTTTGCAAGTAGAGGAAAGCATGATGTGTGAGCGACCACATGACAAGCTGCGCATCGTCTTTTTTCGCCGGTTTTACGGCAGTCCTAAATTTGGACTTCAAATATTTAATAAAAATAAGCTTGAGAACTACCTTTTCGCCAACATAGCATTCCGAATCCACCGATGTTGATGAGCCAGGTCCAGATGAAGGTAGCCAGATATGCTCGGATGGATGGATCTGGAAGATGTGGAGATAATCGAAAATAAATGACTTCTTTTGTGGTCTTTGAAATTATTTTTAGGAAGGGTAGGGTATACAGACTAGACGCTTCTGAAGTGGTGTTCTGTTCTCTCTAAACACGTATGAAAAACAAAGTTTCTTAAGCTTGAAACTTCGAATGAAAAGCAGGAGAGGCGAACATGCCCCAAAAATATTTTGTGAACAAAGCTCTTGTCGCTAGCTCTTACAAAATTTTGCAAAGACGATTTTTGAAGAAACGCATATACATACGGTGTAGATCGTTTGAAAATTTTGTAACACTTCTTCTTCTCCCCCCCCCCCCCCTGTGCTTTGGCTGATTGTAATGTAGTTTATTTTCGTCAAGGTCTTCATCTAGTGCAGCATCACACGTCATTTTTCCGCAAAAACTGATCATGAACGTTGCTATTAACTTTTTCATTCATTGAACTGTTTATGAGCCGGCACACAATTTTTTATGTTTATTTAGAGAAAAAAGTGAACATGTACTGTGCTTATATTTACATGTAACATACGTGAAATCGCACAAAGTCTCCTTTAAAAATTTGAAAGTTTTTTCCGCTCAAAATGTTGTTTCTTGTCTGTTGCGCATGCAACAACTGTATTTGTGTGAATGGAGGGCAAAAATAGCATATGCTTATGAAGGCAAAACAACAAAAATGATTACTCACTCATAACGTTATTTGATCTTAGATGACCGATGCGATAAAATAACTCATTTTGAATGGGATACGTGAGATTTTCATGGACAAAAAAAGCACGTATATTTTGAAAATTTAAGCTGCAAGTTGCTTCCAGTCCCTACGGTCCCTAGAAAAATGATTTTACTTCACACTTCCTCATCTTTATAATATATATATATATCAGAAAATCTGTGTGTTCGTGTGGTGCACATTTTCCATAACCATGAAGGATGAGCGGTAAAGCTCATTTTGATCTGCTGCTTCGAAGATAAGGACGTTAGAAAGCAAACCCAGGAGGAGTCGGAATCAGAGGAAGGGTAAATTTCACTACATAAAAGATCAAGCACGATGGACTGGCTCGAGAACGAGGTGGAACCCGGGATGCCAGCTCGTAGTGAATAAAGTATTTTTACTCTCGAGATGTACTATTATGCTGTGGGCCCCTTGTTATAAGCTGATAGTGAGCACAAACATAGGCCTAAGTGTAGATTGGGATTTATGACTTTTGAGCCCCTGGATAGCGAGATAGAAAACTTGAAGATGTTCGAACTGTCAAAATACGCTCACTATAGAGATACTCGGGAACTGAGTATCTGAGTTTGCTAGAAAAACACTTTGGAGGAAACAGATGATAAAAGAATAATGAAAATGCATCCAAATCATGGAATCATCAAGCTCAAAGCGCTTTTCATGTACAGATATTTTGCTGACAAAACTGTCGCATATTGTAGGTGGTAAAGTTGTATAGTCAAGTTATGCTAGATTCATACTCAAAGCTTTGCACACCACCACTGTTCATACTTCATGCGACTGCGCTCGCTGCGCGATTTGACAGGATCCCAATTTTGTTCGCAGCTCACCGTCTGCGCATTTGCATGGAAAGCAGGAAGTGTTTAGTTTTGATTAAAAAATGAATTAACAGAGACAAAGTATGCGCTTTTAATGCACGTAAAAATGCAAAATGGGATTTAGAAAATCTGGCAAACCTCCAACTTTTGAAAACGCCCATAGTATGTTCAAAGCTTGGTGAGTATTCAACAGTTGTTTTCAGGGCTTTCTCGGGCAGATTTGTGATTGTAGGTTCTTTGAACACTGCAATACCTGTTCATCAAGCCAATAACGGCCGGTTCTGTGCTTGTTGACTGTCCTTGACTCCTGCTCTACGGCTGTTCTGCGAACTACTGGCGACTTGGCAAGGGCTTTCCTGGAAAACAAAATTTGCTAAATGACATTGAAATGGCCAAAAGTCGAAATATTTGTAGTCTATACAAGTAGCAAATTACAAGCAAAACTGTTCAACAAGATCAGATCAAACAATATCTTTTTCAACCTGAACAACTCGGACAGATGTTCGATCCGGCTCGGTCTTCTAAGAACGCGAACAGCTGTGTGATCATGACTTCTCGACCGGACAGTCTTTAGACTTTCCGCCGGAGTCGGTGGCTCGAATTCGGAATCGCTTCCACTGTCACCCGATGAGACCGAAAGTAGTTCGATGTCTCGACGAAGTGTGGACAGATCCACAGAATTCGATCTTGGGGGAGATGCTGAACCCGGACAGGGTGAAAGAAGCTGTGGTGGAATCAGAAGCCATGGTGGCGACTGGTCCTGCGACGATTGCGAATCCAGCAGAAAGGAATCGTTTTCACAGCGTTGTAGACGCGGTGACGTCGGGGCCGAACTGCCTGGCGTACTGAAAAACAAGCACTTAAACGGCAATGAGGAAATTCGTAGAGCAAGCAAACATGAGAAGAAATTATCAACTTGATGACATGTTTCTAAAAGGGACTAGAAAAAGTTTGCAAAAAACTGCTATGGAAAAGTTAAGAAAACAAGTTGTTTGCCTACTTCGAACTCTCAAAAAGATAATCCCCTCAATTCCGTTGAAACTTCAGATGAGGAAGTTGGTCCTGACACGCACCTTCTGGTCAAAATATAGCCCTCCACGCCCACTTTCTCTTCCCCTTTTCATTTGCGGTAAACAAAACACTGTACTATCCCTAACCACACTTATTTCTGAAGACTCGTGAATTGTTGAAAGATTTGCTAGCCTTCAGAAAACTAGAGGAAATGTAAAAAATGGTTGTTAATTTTGGTGCAAATCCCGCCTTATATGGCCCCCTTTGCCCCCCCCCCCCCCCTCCCTCCCCCCAGAACCCCTCAAGTCCTTGGAGCAAACGTTTCACCATCTATGGATATCCTTCATTCCATTTTTTTTTGAAAAGTTCAATCATCAAGAAGTCTAATAATTTATCCAGCCTGTATAAACCATAAACTTCATAACAATCAAATATCACTGGCATATTTTTCAGTTTTTTTTTATTTTCCACCATTTTTTTATTTTTGGTTTTTTTCAAATTATGTACCTCGCCCACTTATTACTCAACTTCCTTCACCCTACTCTATATTCTATACAGCCTCATATGTTAACTTCTGCTTCCATGATAAAAAGAAGATTTCTCGTCCCCTCGCGTTAACGTAGGCTTAAAATTCTGCAGTAGCGGATGAGCGATAGGTCTTTTCTTCGAAAAAAAAAATCTTTTGAACTTTGAGCAGAAGAATCTGACGTCAGAAATGTCTGGACAATTGCAGCACATTGATGCCTGAACTTTTATGGGGAAAGAAATGTGCCTCAAGGGTATAAGATCGAAGTTAAGAATCCTAGCTGAAAGCGCATTTGGAGAAATTTCTCTTAGTATTCAAAATTCAAATCTTTTGCTTCACTGTTTATTTGACGAATACATTGAGTGGCTATTTTATTTTATTGGGGTTGTTGTCACAATGTTATAGTCAAATAAATGAAGGTTGGTCGATCTTCAATTCGGGAAAAATTCGAATGGGTTTGTAAATCTCCAAGCGAGTAAATCGAAAAAAAGGGTATTGGTGCCAAAGTGAGCACAAAATTAGAAGACTATGGTTATTTTCACAGACGAATCGTGCGAAATCAAGCGGTAGGAGGAAGAAATGGGGAAAACTTTTACAAAAATCCGATAGTTGCTGCTCAGAAAAACATCTGTAGTTGTTTGGCCGGTCTAAAAAATAACAGCACTCATGCAGCAGCAGCTAATCTTCGTTCACAGAAGAGATGACCACTTGACGACGCTTCACAAATCTATTACATTATTCTGCTTATTCGCTAATTTGCTTTAACAACCATGAGCGTTTCATAGTCACTGATCACATTAATGATTCAGTATTGATAAGCGGTTTCTTGGAATACTGAAAAGACGTATATATTCATCTAATAACAACATCAAGCATCGTAACATCGCTGAAAAATCTATGAAATTATTTATAGATGAAAATTCTGCCAGCTACATTCAAATACTTAGTTTTAGTTCCTTCGCGAGATTTATGAACTGTCTGCAAAGTTGTGACCTTAGACGCTTCATTTGTTATATAGAACAGCAATATTTAGAAGTTCCAAAATCTCGCTAGTTATTAGATTGAAAAAAAGGTTTTGAATTTTCAACAACAGCATTTTTATTCAAAACTTCTTATTATCCGAAATTTCTTCCTTCGGCTTATTGGGCTTATGCAGGACTAGCTCTCCACTTACTATGTTCATAAATCTGCTCAAAAATTCTCCTACATTGCTAGTTACAAGGTTAGGCCCCTGAATTAAATATTCAATTAAAACTGAAAAGTCCCTACCCCGCCTTTCCCAAAACAAGTGCTGAGCAAACCTAAGAGTCAGCAATTTACGCAAATTGCTCTTGACAGCCGTGACATGGCAGGAGGCATTGTCAAGCGGAAAAGCGAAATAATTCGAAATTTTCTCGCAAAGCGGCTGCAAGAATATTCTCGATATAAGATGCGGATATGCTAATGTTTCAAATACGTCGAAAAAATGCTTTTGAAGAGGAAACTAGAAAATTTGCATTAATTTGTGATAATCCACATAATTATAGACAATAAATAATTGTTCTGCAACGTCCCATCGTTTCACAATCTACCTATAGATGAGGAATCGTTGTGCCTATTTAAAAAGGTGAACTTGCTGGAAACCCGCGGTTCCTGCAGCGAACGCGCCTACAAATCTAGCACCTAGATTACTGATTCATTAGTCTATTTGAATTACTGTAGCTTTACCCGTCCATTTAGTGTGACTCAACATATTTTCAAGTTTTCAGCTTTTCTTGATTGCAAGACATGAGAGAGCTGGCGCATCATTAATTAGAAAAAATCAAATTTTTAGCGGTACTATTGTACATGGTTTTGATTGTAATGCTTAAAAAAGAAATTCATTAGGAAGTGTAGCAAAACTTTCGGGTGTTATGCTAAAACCTGCCTTTCGTCTACTCAATTAGTGCATTATTTTTTGCTATGGTCATTGAATTTTGTTATTTTGCATTATTTTCTTCATCATTCATACCCCAACAATCTGCAGCGCTAGCTACAATTTTCACGACTTTACCCTAGCCAAGTGTCGTCTCTATATGGCTGCGCTCATCTTCGAACGAGTGTTGAGTGCATCATTTGCATAGAAATTAGCTGATGAAGCAGAAGAGCAATGAATCGCCTCATGTCCATTCGTACGAAGATTATAGCATTGGATGGATGGATAAACGGAAGCAGTCAGGAGTCAGACTTTACTGACAAGCGCTCAATTTCTGCTTCAAGGACAGGCGGAAGTCTTTTCTTGCTATTTTGTAAAAATCAAAAAACCAAAGCTTAAAATTATCAAGAATATATGTGATCTACTAAATGCCTAATATCAGCTTTTTTTGTGCACGTCTGACGGTGCTAATAACGAAAGAAGATCTGGTTAATTACCATATTTCTACCGTATTCGTACCGTATCCGTAGAGTGGCACAAAGAACGGAAAAGATTACAATTTATATGCGCACTTCCACTTTTAAATAAGAGAAACCAAAAGGACAATAACCACCCAATGCATGCTGGATGCTAAACAGCCACCGTATTCTTACAGTCTCATACCGTAATCTTTCTCTAATTCACACCATAATCTTGCAACACTTATGATAATGAATGTTACAAACTGTGAAGTTGTAGTTTATGTAAACATCAAAAATGCAAAATTTAAAGCAAAGAAAAACTTAAATTGCATTTTGTACGGTAAGAATACGGTAACGTCATGCACCATATTTTTTTCTAGTTACAAATGCTCAGAAGAGTACTCTTGCACCATCATCATCGTACAATTATAGTATTTTTGTATTCTAGTTCGAATTTGTAAATTTCTAGAAATCCGCATTTTTTCTGCCAGATTCCCTAGCAAAAACTGCCTAGAAGAGAGGTGAGACTTTGAAAAGCTTTTAGATTATAAGACCTAAAAGTGCATACTTTTATCGTGCTCAGCTGAATCTTGTGGCATTATTCCTCAACAAGGAAGTGCTCAGCTCCTCATAAAATTTAATAGCTTTTCCCCCGTGATCTCTTATCTATTACGGATGCAATAGCGCGCAAGATAATTTGCTTCCGTTCATTTGATAATTCTGTGAGAAGGATGCACCTTCAGAGTTGCGTAACTAGTAGAAGTCTATCCCCATAGAATTTCATATCTGGAGGAGGGAGGGGGAGAATTTTCTGAAAAGTGATTTCGCAAATTTTTAGGAAATTCTCTGAAAATTCACTGAAAAATGCAAAATTCACTTGGATTTTTGCTATATTGTGACGAAGAAAAACCCAAGTTATATATGCTCTTATTTATGTACGAAAAAAGGATAACACAAGGAAGTCCCAGTATTGCTTGCTGGACAGCTACCATATCCCTACAATCTCACAATCATATCGTATTCCTGCACTGTTCTATATCAGCAGAAGGAAGTTCCGTTGTGACAAACTCAGCTGTTACCATATTCTTACAGTATAATGTACCTTATTGAAAAAGTGGTTGAAAAAAAAAAACAGTGGAAGGGGGTCTACGCACATGCCTATGTACTTTTCTATACAAACGTACAGAGAGATGCGTACCAGACAGTCACCCTACTCCTACCGTATATATGTAGTATCTGCGGGGTAGTTACGAAAAATGGCAAGGAGGCAAATGTACTCAAAAAGAGATTATAGAGCATGCAGGACAATAATTTCACGTCTATCGTAATTCTACCATATCCGCAGAGTTAAAAAAATAGTGGAGAGTTTAGTTTAGTCCACGTTGCACTTCCCCTTTGATTCGATTGGATTGGCGCCTGGAAGGCGGGGCTTCGTGATCTAATTAAGGCCGGAGTATGATCAGA